TATTTCGTTTTTAGAACAATTCACATTTCAAAGTGTACAGAACTATCAGTGAAATTATTCACACGAAAACAAATGAATGTTTGTTATAAGGAATCAGTCATTTTCTTCAATTTATTACACCAAACTTCAGAATAGCAAGCATGATAAAACGATACAGTGATATCCCAACCTTAGCTGCTACCTTGATATGGTGGTCCAGCTTGCCTATCATAATAACTTGACCAAACTAAATTGGCCAAAATAAATGTTACTTTAGGTCCTACAATGCCAGGCAGGTCATTTGCAGAACGATGAGACTAAAAGCAGCTATTCCAGGACTGAGGGCGAAGTCGTACTGCTGACTGTAGAGGGGTGTGACACTAGTAAGGTTTTTCCCTAGGACCGTCAGGATCTGCAGCAACACTGCCTTCTCACAAGAAACGAATAAATTAGAAAAGTTAGAACCCAAAAATGTCACACCTTGTCTTACCCCAAGGACTTCAATCTCTGGCGGTATGGCGGCTTGAAGAGCGAAGCTAACACTTCACGAACCTCCCGTAAAAACGGCGTATGTGACCGACGTCAAACATTTGTCCCTTGGGCTCTGAGATCTAGTGACTTCAATGCTCGAGTAGATAGACTAGGCGGAAATTAAAGTGACAGAGGTGAATCTTATGGTGTCACGGTTGTTCGAATAGATAATGGATGCCGTCCGCTGCAGCTATGCTCAGTTACCCACCTATTTAGAGCGAATACTAACTAACTAAGCATAAGGAGAGACTTCATTTGACATGGTGATTGCCAAAATCGACCTTATAATAGATCCAACTAGATCACATCGCTATGTGCCACTGATGAAGGAGTTCCATAGAGGACTATAGATCGTTCTGAGGCACATGTTTAGATTCAGATCATGCTGTAGTGCGAGCGCGTATTTGTTTGCTGCTAAATGTGAGTAGGAAAGATACCACAAGGAAACCTCTTAGGGTTCTTCTTAATAATAGAACAGCTAACAATATATTTCAGGGGAAACTAGAAAAACATTTAGGCAGCCACCTATTAGGTGATGCTTACCCTGAGGTAGCTTGAAATGATATCCACAAAGCTGAAAAAACAGCAATGATATCTCGTGGTATGTGAAACCAAAAGGTTAGGAAGAAACATTGGATTTAAGCAGCATGTACGACCTAATTGATCCTCTAAAGCTAAACCAGTCTGGTTCTGAATGCAATGAGGAGAAGGCTGATAAAAAGACTACGAAATAATCGCACACAATGGTGGGTAACGAAAGCAAATTTAAAAAGAAGAATGAACTTTACTTGAGTTGATTAATTCATAAAATTAAATTTTCTTACTGTTATGTAGATGAATTAGGTTTTACGGTCTTTCTTTTATCAAAATCAATTCAACTCTTATTACAGATGATATAAGTTCGAAGTAGTTTTTATTTCATTTGTAAGGATATGACTTTTTCTACTGTCGATGTTAAGAATTCGATATGATCAATCCATATATATATATATATATATATATATATATATATATATATATATTGGTTTGGATTGTCTTGGTTCTTCAATCTAGTTTTCGAAGCACTGATCAGAAATAAGTTAGTTGTACACACTGGCAACATACCACGAAGTTGAACTAGATCTTTAAATATCGAAGTGCAGACAAACTCTTCCAACCACTGATTTATCGATGTAACTATATTATCCGTATGAGCCAATCAGCTTTTTGACGGCATTTTGAGGTGAGTTAAGGACTTTTCCCGACCGTAGCGGCTACCTTGACGTGGTGGTCGGGCTTGTCTGTCGTGATCACCCGACCGAGCTATTTTGGCTGGAACATATTGTCCTGTAGGTTCCACCATGCCAGGCGGATCGATTAGAGAACGATGAGATTAAAAGCAGCTAGTCAAAGCCTGAGGGCGAAGTTGTACTTCTGACTGTAGAGAGGTGTGGCAGCAGTAAGGTGTTACCCTCGGACAGTCAGCATCGGCAGCGATGCTGCCTTCTCACAAGGAAGGAGGGGGTTGGAAAAGGTCGACCCTAAAAATGTCACACCTCACCTTACCTCACGGGGTTCCGTATTCAGCGATAAGACATTTCAACCAAGAACGGGGCTAACACTTTTGCAACCCATAAAAAGGCCGTGCGTGACCGGCCTGAAGCAATTGTCGCTTGGGCTCTGCGGTCACGCTCCCAGGTCTCCAAGACCAACACTAATCTACCTTCCTTTTCAGGTTGCTCAAGAAACACCCTTTCACGGTGTGGGCAGCCGGGAAGTGACAACTGCCCTCATACCCGTAACAGCACGCGAGACCAAATCGGTCACAAGCAAATCCTTCCTACACCCCATAATATCTCTCTTATCTCCACGAATAACTCTACTCACATTCCTTTATCACACTGCACCGCTAATGCAAATGATTGGAGTTCACCAAAAATTATTCCTGGTTTCCTGAAACCTTGTTCTAAATTACGTGTTGGAGCTTTTAATGTACGGATATTGTTTCGAATAGGTCAACAGCCTTCATTAGCTAAAACTTTAGAATCTCGCGCCATCGACGTTTGCTGCGTCTCGGAAACGCGCATACAGGATCCTAGTAAAATCATTAATTTGATTTTACCTTGTGAAAACAAAGAAGCAGATCGGATTACTCTTCGTGTATCGGAAGCCCTGATGCTGCTTCTCGGGGTCTGGCTGGTGTAGGTATAGCATTGAGTCCTAGAGCAGAACTATCTGTTCTATACGGGATCCTAGTTGATAGTCGCTTGTGCGCTTCCCGACTGAACGGGATAGTAAGGCTCGGAAAGTTAGGGACACGCCGTTGCCTCTTCGTCGTACCTACCTACGCTCCCATCAACTGCAGTTCAGACGAGGTGAAAAATAAGTTTTACAGAAAGGTTTTAGAACTTATCCAAAAAGCCAGGCGCTCTGATATGGTAATAATGGCGGGTGACTTCAATGGCCCAAGGTAGACTTAGTGAGAAGGAAAGACATCTGGGTGGATCTTATGGTGCTGTGGCTCAAAGAACAGTTAATAGCGACCGTCTGCTGTATGTGTGCTCAGATAAGCGAAAGCCAGGGAAACGGAAAAGGAAACGGCAATAGGTAACAGTAGACAACTATTCAGACTCATCAAGGGAACCGGTATTAGGAATCTGACTGTAAGTGAGACTATCTGAGAAAAGGATGGGCATATTATTAATTCTCAATCCAGGTGATTGGATCGATGGGCAGAACACTTAAGAGATCAGTTCAACTGGCCTACAGACACACTTCAGTTGCCCACGATCTCCAATCATCCTGAATGGCGAACCAACGTAAGTTGTCCGACTTTGTATGAATTTGAGATAGCTACAGGAAATCTGAAGTGAGGGAGAGTAGTGGGTCCTGATAGGTTAACCCCAGAGACTTTTAAAGATGGTGGTCCAGTTTTAGCAGCTAGATTGACTGAAACCTTGGGGAGAAACTGAAGACTGGACATAATCATATCCTACTGATCTCAATCACTGATTGTTTCGGCCTATAAGAATGGACAAAAGTCCTCTTGCGACAATCACAGAGGAATCAGCTTGACTAATGTAATATTTAAGATATTGGCTTCAATAATGCTTTGACGCATAATTAGAGCTCGTGAAGCACAAAGTCGAGCAAAGCAGGCTGCTTTTCGACCTGACCAATTATTCACTCTTCGTCAGGTCCTGGAATATTTTCGGCGACCTACAATAGTTGTATCTGTTGACCTCAAGGCGGCGTTTGACTTTGTTGATCGTTAAGTTCTATGGCAGTAATTATCACTGAAAGGTGTGCCAAAGAAGAGCATTGACCTTATTCAAGCTCTCTACTGCAACACTACTGGTCGAGTGAGAGCTAATGGCGAATAGTCATCGGAATAGATTACTTCAATTGGCATTCGTCAGAGTTGTCCACTTTCTTCTTTCTTATTCAACTTTGCCACTGACATGCTTTTAGGGACGAAATTTTCGTCACCTGACTTCTCAAGAGTTGACCTACCAAGAGATTCGCTTGTTGCCTTAAAATGTGCCGATGACATAGTTCTATTTTGTGAAGACACTGACAAAATGCACAGTCTTCTGACTACCCTAAGCAACGCTGCAAGCATGCTCGAAATGCAATATGTTGCTCCAAGATTGTGTCTCATCTGAACCCTGAACGAGTCATAGGGAGTGAAGCAGTTGAGCATGCTGACCGCTTCACTTATCTCGGGAGTCTCACCAGTGGTGATGGCCTGGTGTGTGACGAAATCTGGCTTTTGCCAACCTGCGTCACCTATGACGCAAGCAAGATATCCGTTTGCTAACCAAAGGAAGAGTGTACTGCGCAACAGTGAACTCGGTTCTACTAGATGGATGCAAAACGTGGCCGGTGAGAGTAAAAGACATTTATAGGTTATTAGTGTTCGATTATAGATGTCTTCGAAGGATTGCTTGTATATGCTGGGACAGCCGAGTAAACAATATATCGCCACCTGAACTAGTAATAGGGGGTAAAGTAAGTAAGTAAGTAATGGTGAAGTTACTAAGAAACACGGGAATGTAATGTATGGTGTCAGGGTGAACCGAGATATCTGAACCAGGTTCGAAAATCGACGAAGGCCAAGGGAAGCTAAGTAAAAAGATGAAATTATCAAACGCCTCTCGCTCGACTTACTGTTGGATACTTTTCAACTAACGCCAATAATTCCAACAGAGACAACTGAATTATGTACTCAAGCAGAACATCCTCCATGTTCAGAGTTGCTATCTAGAGGTCGGTCGGATCGCAAAAGTAGACAACCAAAGAAAATTCAGTTAAATCATCGGCTGTTTCGCTATTAACTTCTTCCAGAGGGAGGTGTTTGGATATTCGTCAAATATCCTAAAAGAATTATTTTTGGAAGTCTAATTCTATTGGCCAATTCCTACTGGTCAATATAATGGTCCTCCTAACTGTCAATGTCACATACTTCAATGTTGTTTCCTGATGGTCTTCCAAACTATCAGTATCACAAACTTCAATGTTGTTTCCTATTCGACTTAACTGTATAAATATGCATTATCTGTAAAGTTTATTATTCGATTCCTTCCTTCCTTCATCTCTTATGTATTCGACCCCATAAACAACTTCATCTAACGGTGCTGTGTTCTGAAATATTGGAGATTCGGGAACAGTATTTGAGGTCGCGTTGGAATATTTGAATTTGGTCAAACGGTAGGATTTCGAACAGCTACATAGCAGCATTATAACATTTACAGAGGTCGTCAGCTTCCATATATCTTGGAATAAGGTGACAAATAATCAATAAGCATAATGACATTCGACATCCTTAGGCTAACCCTTATACAAACCAGGGCCTTATATTAAGATTAAGACTGAGTGATAATGTTTGAATTAATATTAAGCACAACTGGACTCACCAAACGTGTAACGGATTCACCTATGTAGTTCGCATTGTTGACGTTAACTGAAGCTGGGCTTCAGCTAGTCTTAACTTTTCCCTTAAATTAAATAATTCTTGTTCGTTGAGTATAAATCTACTGGGGTCCAGTTTCCTATTCACGCTGATTGAACATGAGAACTAATTCAAGGGTAGAGAAAGTGCAAAAATAAAGAACAAAAGAGACATGAAAATAAATGATATTGCTAAATACGAGGTTGATAGTTGAACGATAAGTCTGTGAAAAATAACCCAGTATTAGACTTTTGGGTTGTATTCGCGACAGATTGTGCAATGGTGAAAACTCCCATACCAGAAAGAAATAACTGTCTAGTGTTCTCTGGTTTTCAGTATTACTCCAAGTGATACTAGGCGGTGACAACCTATGAATTAAATCGATATCCACAAACCCCTTCACTCAGTATCATATACAACTATATAATCATTAACGAATGTTACATTCTCATCGTTTACTGTATTCCTAACGCATTACTGAATGTATCTATTAACAAATGTGAAATAACTTCTCTCTTCAGAAGTGAAAAGTGATAATATAAGACTGAGATGAAGTGTAGCTTTATAGTATGCCACAAATAGCAGTTGCATAAAAAACCGTCAGTTAATTTCTTTACCCCATAGTGTATAAGATTCAATATTTGCAGTAAGTGAAAGTTTCGTAAACGACATTGTTGATGATAATCAATATTCCCATCACTGTTTGTCGCCCATAAAAAATATTAAAGTTTAGAGAACCAGTAGTGCGATATAACTAATATTAGTAGACTATTGTAGAAAAGAATAATCTTCGATCGTCTGTTACCCGAAAACACTCGAAATTTCGCAGGCCCATCTGATGAAGTTAAGGATTGTGTTCACTGAAAGTAGTCTTTGTTTAGTAAACTAGGTTGTTTGGCACTGTTGTAAATTATTATCCGCTAAGAGGCAAAAAATAAAAAGGGGGATATAAAAACCATTTTGCCTCAGTAAGTCATACTCGCTAGATTTGCATAAAAATAACAAGAGCGTCAATAGATCCAAGTTAGGTTGATTTCTCTATTGTTATTAGAGGAAACCGTAGTTCAATTGTGTGGAATGGTGGTACTATAATTCATTTTCTGATTATAGTGTAGTTACTGGTGACAGAATGCCACCAATTAGAAAATAATGAATACTTATTAAAAATGAATAAAAACAGACATCAGTTTCTGTTCGGTTTGAACAGGAGTTCCAGCTATCTATCGTCAACACTCAATATCGACTGTAGGCAACTGTTTAACAACTGACTTATCGAACGCCAAGATGGTAAAGACCTCCAACTAAGATTTCGGAACTCACCTTGAAGCTAGTGACTGATGAGCACGAAATAATCTGCTGAGGTTGAAAGTATTAACCATTTGAATACAAATGCTTGTTCCAAAAAAGGCACTCATAGAGTTCTGTGTTCAAAATACACACTGAAGAGTAATCTCAAACCTAAACAAAAAATATATCTACCTAGCTTTGATTTCCAATGGTCTTCCATCGGATGTTACTCCTTGTTATAAAAAGTATGTAGACTATCGGACTCGTTAAAAGATCAGGTATCAGTATTTTTTTATTCAACAGTTTGATAACAATGTCTGTATCTCCATTCACGTGATATTACATAATCCAAATATTCACAAATAATGCTTCTTAAAAACTCTTAACATAATTCAAGAAGAACACAAATGTTAATGAGTGATTACTTTGGTTAAAGACTATAGTATTGTTAGGTGGTTAGATACAAACATCAGGAAGCCTTGGCAGATCTATTTTCCGTACTGTCTGACACTTCAGCAGAGTCTGCTAGCAATCTTTAGGGTTCAAACCTTTATCACTTAGCTTTCCAGTCTGAGATGTTACTACTGAGTTATTCAGGACACAAATGACCTTATTTAAGGCTCGGATATATACAAGTGATCGATCGTTGAGTAATGCTCACTACCATGCTTGTCTAGTTCTTCAGCGCTGATTGAACAGTGAGGATAATTTTAAAAGTATAACTAGGTCAAGTCCAGCCTAACAAACCAATGATTTCAGAATAGTTCATAAATATTGAGTGACATAATTAATATTATGAAGATAATTCAACTTTTACACTCACAAACCCAATATCAAAAAAGATTTGGACTTACCGTTTGTTTATTTAGATCACTATTATTTTTACTACATGGATTATTCATTGATGAAGTAAATATTGTTGTGTTTTGTTCTGTACCAGCTGAATTATTAATACATAATTCTAACTTCATAACTAAAGAGCGTAGATGTGCAATTTCCATATCATTCTGTCGTAAACAAGAATTAATCCAATTGTCTAATAAACCAATCAATCTGATACACATTTTAATATGTTCACTTAATTCATTATTGTTAACGGTTTGTTTATGTTTATGATTATTTTCATTCAATAAAATTAAAATATTATTTAGTTGAGTATATAATTCTTCAATGAATGCTGGGGTTTGTGAAGATTTCCTAAGAATTATGCTACTATTATCATCATTCTGATTGCCGCTATTATTATTCATTTCATCTAGATGACCATTTGTTAATGTTGGATAATGTTGAATTTGCATATATTGATTCATTAAATCATTATAACGATCTTGAAATGCTTTTAAAAGATTGCGTACAGCAATGCAAGCTGGAGAATTGCATGAACCAACTGGAACCTAGAGTTGAAATTCGAAAAGAAGAGAAATAAGATAAAATAAAGAATAAAAAGAGTTTAAGAAGAAAACTTTTCAGAAGTAATAATAATGAATCATATAATAAAGGAATGATCAACGTATTGTTATATACCTACTAATAGGACAGAGTCAATGTCAAATGATACAATTTCAATTGCAGCAGATTACAATGCGATAATGGACTCAATGCAACTGATGAAAACCAATGCACCATTTAAATGTCTGGACTCTAATAATCAAGTATTCTGGTTAGACATTTAGGAACATCTTGATGAAAAATAACTAATGATAACTAATTATTTCGAGAAAATCATTTGGAGAAAGTTGGTAATTTTAGTAAGATGTTTTGTAATTTTTCATGAAATCAATTAGCGTTTAGGCACTAAGACGACTTTAGATAATAAAAACGAAGTATTACCCTAGTTAATACATAAAATGCATGAACACTAATTTACATCAGTCATATGGACTTGACATTACTTGCAAAGAAAATTTTCTGAACTTATTTATAAATAGCCTAGTAAAACTTGTAATCATACGTGATGAAAACAAGCCATCACTGCAACAATGTCTAAACATCAATTCAGATGGTAAAATAAAATCTACTATACCGAGATTTGTTTTTACATATAGTAATTATTGGTTACATTTATTTAACAAATAGGTTATCCCAGGATGAAATGAAACTTAGTTCGGCAATCTGACATCCGTTTAAGCGGAAATTATGATAAAAAAAATATGAACATTCTTTTAAAATGGATGAACTATGGCTAGCAGTATAATACAGATGGTCCATTTCGCAATATCTGCAACTTATCAGTCGGATGTGCTTCACATATCCCAGTAATGATTTTCACATTGGGATTGGGACCCAGTACCTTTTATTTTAAACGCCAACACATTATCTAGTTACGTATGGAATCCAGACAGACATTTACTTGTTCAATGAGTATAATGTTTGCATTGCTGTTTAGTAAGGGTCTGAATTATCCAGTTGTTGATATGCACAACAGCATAATAGTTTCCTTTGAAACTAGGTGGTGAATGTACATCAGTAACACAGTTTATAAAGACAGAAAAAGTAGTATGAAGTTACTTAAGTACGCACTATATTAGTTAGCAAGACAAAAATAAGTAAAAATCATTTATTTCTTCAATATACATTTATAAATAATCTTTATTGACCGAAAGAAACTGGCCTATCAGATAAAGTAAGTTAACCAAACAAAATCGAAGCAACAACATTTTTCTGTACATGCAATAAAATTCAGACAAATGTTTGTTTTCAACAACTGTCAAGTTACTGTAAGTAAAAATTTTGGTTGAAATAACCTTGGTGATTGAGACATAAATAATTCATTATAAACCCTCAAGTTATTTCAGGAAAAAATATATAGCGAAATGAGAATGCCTAAAGGTAAAACGTCAGTCATCAGCGTTACAGATTTGCAGTAAATTAAAATAATGGAAAAAAAGGAGTACGATGTGTCTGTGACTTTGTAGCGCATTTACTCTACAATGTTCAATAAAAGTATAATCTCTAGCCCTTTCGGTTAATTTAATGAGTGAATAACTGTATGCAAGAGCGTAATTTTCAACAAGGATCTTTTCACACACTGAACTTCATTTAATTCGATTTTCGCTGTTAGGTATTTCGGATGCACATCAGTGCTATGTTCATAGGAGACGTATATTGACAGCTTTAAATGAATGAAATAGAATCCCCAGTAAAAATTATGCTCCCATTCACAGCACTGACATATTAAATGAGCAAAAAAATGCTCGAAAATACTAGACGTTGCATTTTTAGTGAACATTGAAAAGGGATGGTTATCCACGCCATTAAACCATGCGAACGTGAACTGAACTAATTTATTTGTTTCAATGAAATCATAAATCGATCATTATCAGACCACAATTAGACAAATGGAAGTGCTGCAAGGTCGTTTCACCCTAGTATGCAACTCGAAATAGTGTGCACAGTCTTGTTCGGGACTAGTACATCGGATATACCTGCATCCCAGAGTTGATATCTAATCTCGGACTCAAACCCAATATCGTCGCTTTAAGTGCAAATGGCTTGTGCAGTGGGATGCAGGTACATCGATCTGGAGAAACCCAAATAAGATGAAATGCGCATCTTGAATTCCACAAAAAAGCTGACTAACTTGGTGAACATATTAAACAATAATCTGTAAACAATTTGATTGTTATCATACAAATCAGTAGTCAGTATTAAAATTTAAGTTGGCTGCCACTCCTGTCACTGGGACGAAGGCATAATATTGAAATTATAAGATTATATCTTATTAACATTTTGTTAGCTAAGATATTAATTGCATTGCTGTGTAATAATTGTTCAGGTGCAAGAAACTAAAGTAAATAACAGTTTTGAGTGACAATGCAAGAGGCAATCTATACAAGACTGTATTTAATAAATGCAAATTTACTGACCACACATATATTGGTACGTCACGTTTATCACGATAATATAAAGTTACTATATAATTCCAAATGTCCCATTTTTTTAAAAGTTAATGTTTTGAAAAACAAACCGTAAACACTACAAATCGAATTCATGAACATGTTGAAAAGCCAAAAACATGTGAACATTTGTAGTCGCTGTCAGTTGGTTGAAGTTAGAAACTCGACTGTCAAATAAAGATTTGCTGGAACTATATGGCATAGATGACGTTCCGGAAACTATACGTGAACGAAGGTTCGAAAAAGAGTTAAAAATAACGATTGAAAAAGGTTCGGGTTGCTGATTAAGGTTAAGGATTCTTTAAAACCTTAACAATGTACAGTTAAAAAGTCAGTTCTGTGATTCGAAATTACATCTTTGAAAAGTCCTTGTCGGTCAGTCAGTCGGTTACAACGTCGAACTTCATACATGGGTATATTAGTTCAGGTTAACACACAGCATCAGCACAGATATGCATTTGCCAGTTCAAATCCCATAGTGATAGAGTTAGAGGAAGCATTAGCAGAAATGGAGATTAGGGTTCGAAAATATGACTTGAGAAGTATAATTCAGTGAGATAACGTTAGAAAGAGAAAGATAAAGGTGACAAGGAATTCAAAAGATAAGGATTTGAGAGGACACGATGAATAAATGCACCTGCTCCATTGCAAACGATTTTGAGCCATCTAGTTCAAGGTCTCTAACCATCAGTGAATTTCATCTAGCGGACACCAACCAGGTAGCCTACACCTATATGCAAGACCCAGTGCACAAGTCAACGAATTCATGGATTTCTGCCATGAATTGTTAAAGCCGCCCCAAACGTTCTTCGAACACATTCCTACACCGCAAAACATAGATCATCCAGGCAATCGATGGTTACGCATATGTAACACGTGTCTCAGCCAGCTCATGTGATGAAGTTCCAATACTGCATCAATTGATATACCATCCTTACCTAGTACCCGTTTCCTAACCACAGCATTGCTTACTCAGCTGTCTCAGGATATACAAGCAATCCTTCGAAGACATCTATAATCGAACACTAATAACCTATAAATGTCTTTTACTCTCACCGGCCACGTTTTGCATCCATCTAGTAGAACCGAGTTCACTGTTGCGCAGTACACTCTTCCTTTGGTTAGCAAACGGATATCTTGCTTGCGTCATAGGTGACGCAGGTTGGCAAAAGCCAGATTTCGTCACACACCAGGCCATCACCACTGGTGAGACTCCCGAGATAAGTGAAGCGGTCAGCATGCTCAACTGCTTCACTCCCTATGACTCGTTCAGGGTTCAGATGAGACACAATCTTGGAGCAACATATTGCATTTCGAGCATGCTTGCAGCGTTGCTTAGGGTAGTCAGAAGACTGTGCATTTTGTCAGTGTCTTCACAAAATAGAACTATGTCATCGGCACATTTTAAGGCAACAAGCGAATCTCTTGGTAGGTCAACTCTTGAGAAGTCAGGTGACGAAAATTTCGTCCCTAAAAGCATGTCAGTGGCAAAGTTGAATAAGAAAGAAGAAAGTGGACAACTCTGACGAATGCCAATTGAAGTAATCTATTCCGATGACTATTCGCCATTAGCTCTCACTCGACCAGTAGTGTTGCAGTAGAGAGCTTGAATAAGGTCAATGCTCTTCTTTGGCACACCTTTCAGTGATAATTACTGCCATAGAACTTAACGATCAACAAAGTCAAACGCCGCCTTGAGGTCAACAGATACAACTATTGTAGGTCGCCGAAAATATTCCAGGACCTGACGAAGAGTGAATATTTGGTCAGGTCGAAAAGCAGCCTGCTTTGCTCGACTTTGTGCTTCACGAGCTCTAATTATGCGTCAAAGCATTATTGAAGCCAATATCTTAAATATTACATTAGTCAAGCTGATTCCTCTGTGATTGTCGCAAGAGGACTTTTGTCCATTCTTATAGGCCGAAACAATCAGTGATTGAGATCAGTAGGATATGATTATGTCCAGTCTTCAGTTTCTCCCCAAGGTTTCAGTCAATCTAGCTGCTAAAACTGGACCACCATCTTTAAAAGTCTCTGGGGTTAACCTATCAGGACCCACTATTCTCCCTCACTTCAGATTTCCTGTAGCTATCTCAAATTCATACAAAGTCGGACAACTTACGTTGGTTCGCCATTCAGGATGATTGGAGATCGTGGGCAACTGAAGTGTGTCTGTAGGCCAGTTGAACTGATCTCTTAAGTGTTCTGCCCATCGATCCAATCACCTGGATTGAGAATTAATAATATGCCCATCCTTTTCTCAGATAGTCTCACTTACAGTCAGATTCCTAATACCGGTTCCCTTGATGAGTCTGAATAGTTGTCTACTGTTACCTATTGCCGTTTCCTTTTCCGTTTCCCTGGCTTTCGCTTATCTGAGCACACATACAGCAGACGGTCGCTATTAACTGTTCTTTGAGCCACAGCACCATAAGATCCACCCAGATGTCTTTCCTTCTCACTAAGTCTACCTTGGGCCATTGAAGTCACCCGCCATTATTACCATATCAGAGCGCCTGGCTTTTTGGATAAGTTCTAAAACCTTTCTGTAAAACTTATTTTTCACCTCGTCTGAACTGCAGTTGATGGGAGCGTAGGTAGGTACGACGAAGAGGCAACGGCGTGTCCCTAACTTTCCGAGCCTTACTATCCCGTTCAGTCGGGAAGCGCACAAGCGACTATCAACTAGGATCCCGTATAGAACAGATAGTTCTGCTCTAGGACTCAATGCTATACCTACACCAGCCAGACCCCGAGAAGCAGCATCAGGGCTTCCGATACACGAAGAGTAATCCGATCTGCTTCTTTGTTTTCACAAGGTAAAATCAAATTAATGATTTTACTAGGATCCTGTATGCGCGTTTCCGAGACGCAGCAAACGTCGATGGCGCGAGATTCTAAAGTTTTAGCTAATGAAGGCTGTTGACCTATTCGAAACAATGTCCGTACATTAAAAGCTCCAACACGTAATTTAGAACAAGGTTTCAGGAAACCAGGAATAATTTTTGGTGAACTCCAATCATTTGCATTAGCGGTGCAGTGTGATAAAGGAATGTGAGTAGAGTTATTCGTGGAGATAAGAGAGATATTATGGGGTGTAGGAAGGATTTGCTTGTGACCGATTTGGTCTCGCGTGCTGTTACGGGTATGAGGGCAGTTGTCACTTCCCGGCTGCCCACACCGTGAAAGGGTGTTTCTTGAGCAACCTGAAAAGGAAGGTAGATTAGTGTTGGTCTTGGAGACCTGGGAGCGTGACCGCAGAGCCCAAGCGACAATTGCTTCAGGCCGGTCACGCACGGCCTTTTTATGGGTTGCAAAAGTGTTAGCCCCGTTCTTGGTTGAAATGTCTTATCGCTGAATACGGAACCCCGTGAGGTAAGGTGAGGTGTGACATTTTTAGGGTCGACCTTTTCCAACCCCCTCCTTCCTTGTGAGAAGGCAGCATCGCTGCCGATGCTGACTGTCCGAGGGTAACACCTTACTGCTGCCACACCTCTCTACAGTCAGAAGTACAACTTCGCCCTCAGGCTTTGACTAGCTGCTTTTAATCTCATCGTTCTCTAATCGATCTGCCTGGCATGGTGGAACCTACAGGACAATATGTTCCAGCCAAAATAGCTCGGTCGGGTGATCACGACAGACAAGCCCGACCACCACGTCAAGGTAGCCGCTACGGTCGGGAAAAGTCCTTAACTCACCTCAAAATGCCGTCAAAAAGCTGATTGGCTCATACGGATAATATAGTTACATCGATAAATCAGTGGTTGGAAGAGTTTGTCTGCACTTCGATATTTAAAGATCTAGTTCAACTTCGTGGTATGTTGCCAGTGTGTACAACTAACTTATTTCTGATCAGTGCTTCGAAAACTAGATTGAAGAACCAAGACAATCCAAACCAATATATATATATATATATATATATATATATATATATATATATATATATATATATATATATATATATATATATATATGGATTGATCATATCGAATTCTTAACATCGACAGTAGAAAAAGTCATATCCTTACAAATGAAATAAAAACTACTTCGAACTTATATCATCTGTAATAAGAGTTGAATTGATTTTGATAAAAGAAAGACCGCAAAACCTAATTCATCTACATAACAGTAAGAAAATTTAATTTTATGAATTAATCAACTCAAGTAAAGTTCATTCTTCTTTTTAAATTCTGAATTAACGATCAGTAAAACAGAAGGAAAGCAATAATTTCAATTGTTCGATGTGTTTAATTTCAAAAAGTTGTTTTACTTTTTACAATCGTATATTTAAAAATTTTAACTTCAGTTTATGAATCTAGAGTTTTGAAAAAAATATGTGGTTTTAAGAGAGACATTATCATTCTATATAATCCGTGTGTTGAAGTTTACGTTAGAACACAAACCTAGTATATTATAGTCAATTGCGAACACACTATAAGCTAAGTTATGGAGTCTAGATAACCACTAATTCGTTCAAAAATATGCCAAAAAAATCAGTATGAATCGACATCACATACTACTAAAAACTTAGTAATAATAATGATAATAATAATGGTTATAAGGATAATAATGATATGTGAATCGACGTGACAAAAGGTAATCGTATAATAACATACTGTTGTAGATGATGCAGCAACGATTTCTTCTGAGTTCTCATATACAGACCGTTTACGTGAAGAGCTCATAATCTGGACTTCCGAAATCACTTGTTCTGTTTGTCTCATATCACGATTTCGTGACGCAGCCCGATAATTATCATCATCAGCATCTCTAGAATTACGAGAATCACTTTTTTGACGATTACGTCCACAAACCCTTGATCGTTCGAATGGCTTAGATTCTGAATATTCACGTAGCATGTCTTCATAAAGAGCCTGATTAATACGACATAAAAGCGGAGAAAAAGAGACATTCAAAAGAATATTATAATGAGAGGTTTGCAAAGATTTTTAGATTTTATCATTTACACCACTGACTAACCTCAGTTAGAAAACTACTGAAAAGTCAAGAAGTATTAAACAGCTGTCTCGTCCTAGTATAGGATGTTAGTGGGACAGATGGATTTAGAGCGTGATTACGTCACTACGCGCTGATTGGCTAATTTCCTATCCAATCAGCGCCTGATCGAAGCTTGGAGAACAGGATAGAAAATTCTCGTATTATTAGCTGCATGCTGATTGGTCAAATCCAGCCCAGTCGATCACGTGAATTTTCTTCCAGAAGTTTTCACATGTAAAGGCTATAAATAGACTAGCATTGTATTTATCTTTGCCTTCTAGCCTTCTTAGCCTTCTTAGCCTTCAAGCCTTCTTTGCCTTGGCTTTCGCCATCACCTCCAGCTTCTTTTCCTTGCTATTTTGGAATACAATCCTTCCTGTTCAACCGTGTTCTGATTTGTGTTACTTGTCCAGTGTTTTGTGTCAAGAATACTAGGCAATAAGATTTAGCCGGGAAATATCGTAAGCAAACCGTTACAACAGTGGCGACGGAGAAAAAGTAAAAAAAATGTCAAGATGCCTATTTCAGATGATCAGCTTAACCGAATACTACAACAACAGCAAGCACAATTAGATGCACAAATGCGGTTGTTGGAGACCCTAACTCAACAGCTCAGCATCCAGTGTTCGAGTCCACATACTGTTTCAAATACGTCTTGTGAAGCAGTGGCTAACAGCATACCAGAATTCGTCTATAATCCTGAATGTGGAAATACTTTTCTGACGTGGTTCAAACGTTGGGAAGATACATTTAGAATTGAATTCGGTAAACAAGATGATGCATGGAAGACTCGGTTGTTGCTGCGTAAGTTGGGAAGCAATGAGTATGAACGTTACGCTGACCACGTATTACCGAAGTTACCTCGAGAGCTCAGTTTCGAGGAGACAGTAACCCAGCTGTCAGATATTTTCAGCGAATCAGCATCATTGTTTAGTATTAGATATCATTGTCTAAATCTGGTGAAACACGAAGATGATGAATATCCGGTTCTTGCAGACGTCGTCAACAGAGAATGTGAACGGTTCAAGTTACGCTCGTTGACGGAAGACCAATTTAAATGCTTAATATTCATCAAAGCTCTTCAGTCACCGCAAGATGCTGAAACCAGAACTAGACTTTTGATTCGAATGGACCAAGACCCTAACGTCACACTCATAACATTGACAGATGAGTGTAAACGCCTACAAAGTACCAGGCACGACAACATGTTGATTGAACAGGTAAATCCTAATTTAACCAGTAGTAGTGTCAATGCTATTACTAGGTTAAAAGTCCAAAAGCCGATAGCATCTCGTAGTAGACCAACGACGGCATGTTGGTTATGTGGTGATTGGCACTACGTACGATTTTGTCCATTTAAAAAACACAAATGTCAGATGTGCCATAAACGTGGACATAAAGAAGGCCATTGTCAACCAATTCGTACGTCTCAGCCCAAGAAGAAGCGCAAACGTACTCGACATGTGGTGAAATCAGCCGAGTCTAAATCACTTTCTCTCGTAGCTGCTTTTCAAACAGACTATGACGTTTGGAGAAAGTATGTGACTATCCAGTTGAACGGTGCATCAGCTCGTTTTCAAATCGACACGGCATCAGATATCACCTTAATGTCTAGAGAAACGTACAACTCGCTGGGAAAACCGCCAATGAAGCCATCTAAGAAAACAGCTAAAAGCGCTTCAGGTGGTGTGTTATAACTGGTTGGTGAGATGCAGTGTGAATTTTCCTTCAACGGAAAAAAATGTACAGGAATATGCTATCTGACAGAACGGCCAAACCTTGATCTTCTTGGTCTAGATATGCTAGAAAAGTTGGGAATAATGGATTTACCCATTAACAGTGTCTGCAGCGTATCGTGTTCATCATTGGACACCCCGATACTTAAAAAGAAGACAGGTGAAAGGTTACAAGATAAACTAAAGAGGAAGTCAGCCTCTGTTTCTCAGAATAGCCTTGGCCGCTGCACGAATCTGAAAGCTAACCTACCAGCGAAAGCAGATGCCAAACCTACTTCACGTCCGAGACGCCCTATACCATATGCTGTTCATGAGCCTCAACAAAACTTATCGGTGGGGAAGCAGCCCAATCGACGGTTGTTTAAAGATATGGTTCCTACAAAGCAGGCGGCTCGTAAGAGTACGGGTGGCAAGGCACCCAGGAAGCAGTTGGACCCTAGCGCCAGATCCTACGAATCTTCTCAAAGGGGAGGTGTTAGTGGGACATAGATGGATTTAGAGCGTGATTACGTCACTACGCGCTGATTGGCTAATTTCCTATCCAATCAGCGCCTGATCGAAGCTTGGAGAACAGGATAGAAAATTCTCGTATTATTAGCTGCATGCTGATTGGTCAAATCCAGCCCAGTCGATCACGTGAATTTTCTTCCAGAAGTTTTCTCATGTAAAGGCTATAAATAGACTAGCATTGTATTTATCTTTGCCTTCTAGCCTTCTTAGCCTTCAAGCCTTCTTTGCCTTGGCTTTCGCCATCACCTCCAGCTTCTTTTCCTTGCTATTTTGGAATACAATCCTTCCTGTTCAACCGTGTTCTGATTTGTGTTACTTGTCCAGTGTTTTGTGTCAAGAATACTAGGCAATAAGATTTAGCCGGGAAATATCGTAAGCAAACCGTTACAACATAGGAGTATTTAGATTCATGACCTCAAAATAGATTAACTCAGAGACCTTCATTTTGTGTTGAGACTATTTATTATCTAGAACACTGAATCAGCTAAAATATGTTTAAATTCAGTCAACTTACAAAATTGCACAACCATTAGTCAATGCAATTATCAAATAATTACCTTTTATCGAACATTTTTGAACTCTACTTGTAATATCTTATCACTAGAATTCAAGAAGCCATATCGAAAATAATCACTAGTCAAAACATAGTTATCATTAGTACAGGGCGTTTATATAGATTGCTAAATATTATGATTTACATCATATAATGTTGTTATATATATAGAAAAACATTAGGTAAATGTTTCAATATTCTGACATTAAATCTAAATTAAAACTTCAGTGTACCCAACTTTTTAAACTAAACCCCTAGTTTTAAGTACTTCTAAAGTTAACCCATCAAGTTCTACAGGGTTGTGGAGATAGGAATTATATATGATCACTCCAACTTCGCCCAGAGTCGTAGAACATCTGTTTTTTGGGGATGGCGGTAACTAGATACTAACTGGAGATGCTCCCTTACCTCTTCCTTCTAACCTCCTAGACCGTTGGCAAATTACCAGTCTTGCGAAAAGTATTCAAAGTGTAAGTTAAGTAAGTATATATATGAGAAAGGATTCATCCATTACTCTAAAAAATCACATAACTATTAATTTAAACATTATACACTATACGACAAAGTAATTCACATTTACATATCGAATAACAATAGAATGTCTCAGTTTGAATAAGTGGATGAATGTGAGCCATGTCACCCAACGCATCTAACCTTTTTTTGCCGTTGTCGTGTGGATCCCAGCTACCTGAACCCATGATTGTAGGTTCAGTAATTTAAATAGATTTGTTTACGTATTTTTTACTACATTTCTAACAAGTTTTATCACGATCTAATCATTATGGTACATTATTACACATGATCTTAGCTCAGAGAGCCGAGAAGCGAGAGAGCCCTTATGATAAAAAAGCAACTATATATCAAACATTTCGTCTAAATTTGAACGAATAGTTTCACAACCGTTGGACGGCCAGTTAATGGAAGAAATAAAAAAAGAAATTATGTGTACATATATCTATGTACAATTTAATGTAAGCTTTAGAGTATAACGACTTGGGAACATTGAATAGAAACAGAAATACATCATGAAACTAAATGGTTAGTTACAAAACTTTGTCAGAAGGAAGATGTAAGTATGAAAGACAGTTTACTAGGAATCTTATTTATAACATAATAAGTAAAGGCAAATAAATCTATTCTAGTAACCTTAATTGAGAAGGTTATAAGATAAACTGTTTAATGATAAATTTTTTCAACCCCAGAGCTCTTGGGATGTTTATCACAATCAACTACTGACCTTAGAGATTTCCGCTATATGTATATTTTTAACTGTCACTAGGTATTATCACTTTAAATCATATCTTCGTTGCAGTTATTAACCAGTACATATAGAAGATGTGTATGAAAATAGGAGATAATAGAGAAATGTTCTTCAACTAAGGGATATGTATATTGTTTATAATTTCTTCCTCTTCTACTTTGTGGCCGAAAGACGTAGCCGTTATAAAGCTAAGATGTTTATAAGTTGCTAATATTTAACCACAGATACTCTGAAGGCATTGCTAGCTTATGTTGGGACCATCAAGTAAACAACACGCAGGGTACTAGGTAAAGACGGCAAATCAGTTGATAAGGTAGTTATTCAACTAACCGAGTTGGTTATGACATACATCCTCAATCACTTCCTACTTCGACATGCAATGATTGGTAAAAACTGAAGACGTATCATCAGTCCATAAAGTCCAATTACTGTTACACTGAGCTGTGGTGGTAGGTGCAGATAACCTGGATGAGATCAGCTTTGTTATTTTAGCCAGTGGACGATAAGAGTCAGCACAGGTGTCAAAAACAAATACGAAGAAACTGATTTTCTTTAGAATTTTAGAGTTCTAAAATTACTCACAGTTTCTCTTATTCAGTGTATTTATTCGTTTCTCTCGAAGCATATTCCTCATGCGTAATCTTTTCTGCTATCGCTGATAGTGTTACTATATTTCCATGATAATGCCATCCTGTTGTTTCGATGATGCAGCAACTTGAATGGATGCACCTATGAGCCAGTTTCTGTGTTGCTGCTGACCAATAGATTATAACAGATAGGTCTTAATTTCGTAGGCTAGTAAATGACCTATGAAATTAAAATCTTACAATTGTTTTACATTTAGTCATGGTTATTTAGTGTTCAGCATATTTTCCAAGTATACATTATTGCATTAAAATCATGAACTAATCAATGTCACACCACCATTAAATGCCTGGAAGCACTAGATGGCCATTTTGTCTTAGTATGGGACTCATCAGAAGAGCGCGTCCAAGAACCCCGCCAGCAGGAATCGAACCCGGGATCTTCGGCCTCATGTGCGAACGCTTAACCTCAAGACTAGTGAGCCGGCATCCAACTGTGTCAATGTTCAACTTTAATCATTCCAAGGTATTGCGCAACCTCACACACCGTCTTCGGCACGTAACTACCCCACACCAGACACGGTTGAACTACAATGGTCATGGCTTTACTTTAAATAACAAAGTAGATAATTTTTCAACAACATCTAATTGTACGTAATTCTGTACTCGATTATATTATCAATGATGATATTGTAAAACTTTATTAAACGTAATAATAACACAGTAATTGTGCAGTCGCTACACAATAGAATTACGGAAACACACAAGGACACATAGGTGAAAGAAAAACTCACTTGTAAACGTACAATACCACGTTGTGCACCAGTTTCCGCTGCCTGAAGACATGAAACTCGATCAAGTAAAGCTTTATGCTCTGATTCCAACTGGTCTATACGCATAGCTTGATCATGCAACCTTGTTCGATCTAGTAAAGCAGCTTCCATTAGAGAAGCATTAATAGCTTGAAGTTTAATAATCTAAAATAACAATTAAAGAAGAACATAGAAATCTATTGATAGATCAAAAATAAAAGATATAAATTCGTAGACAAAGGCTCAATATCGAAATGAGATGTCTTACTGGGCCCATGTTCTCAGTAATTTCAACATTTTATGATATATTTTGGTGGGAACTTATTTTACTCTGATAACCATTTGATCTGTATGCCGTATAATAGTAATAAGCAAGTGGTTGAATTCTTAAAATAAGATGATTACAAAACTCTGTTCTTTTTAAACAAACAGTATTCGCAAAACTGATTGATTTAAAAACCTGATTGAAACTAAAGTTATTTGACAGCTAATTTAAAATATACAATACTTAGTAAGAAAATCATAGTTTCATTCAACTCTGAAAAACAATCTGTTTCTTCCGTAGTTTTGACAGACAAATAGATTTAGCGAAAAAAGGACTTGATATGGAATCAAACGGTTGCATTTCTCAACAATGCAACATGCGAAATTTACCAAACGTAAAACAAATATTATCCATTAGTGCTGCTTCAGGTAGAGAGGTAATATCAGAACTAGATAACACAAAAAATGCTACCATCAGAACAAATACGATCAGTAGGATCTGAGATGAACCTCAGACTAGAATACAGATGATGTAAACAAGACTTTTTAGTATAATAAATAAGCTGTTATTGTTGGAGATGCTTAATAATAAATAAAATACTAATACCAAACCGCGCATACTAAGCGAGGAATCACTAGTGTGTGCATTACTGAAACTAAGTCTAATTAAAATGCCAACTATAATACTAAGGAATAAATGGAGAGCAAAAATAATTAAGTGGATGATACCTAAGTTCATAGGAAGTTGAGTTACTGCAACTAGTAAACTTTTATGAGGGAAATTACAGCACATATGATGATTACATTCCTGAATAGTTTGTTAGCAGTTCCGAAGTTTAAAGGTGGTTTTGATCAATAAGTAATATTAACAGAAAAATCCTTAGAAATCAGGGAGTACTAAACAGCTGTTTCGTTCTGACTCGTTTTTCCTCAGAATAGAGTACTTATGACTTCCAATAGGATTAAGAATGAAGCATCCCGATATATAATCGATGACCGTGGGTAAGGATCGAGTTATGTGAATATTTAATTAAAGTTCAAAACGTGAATCAATGAATGCCACCTCAGCGGCCAATCATTGTCGTCTGATGAGACTTTCAGACTTCTGCATTCTGCTTAGGAATAGATACACACCTATGAAGAATCCTGAACATTCAGTCAGTCAGCAACAACGTAGAGCATCGAACGTACGTACATCAGTTCAAGTCGTCACAAAACATGAGCACAGAGATGCAATTGTCGATTTAAATCACATAGTGATAGATGTGGTAGAAGTATGAGCAGTAATCGGAAAGATTAAAGCTTGACAAAATTATTTAAGACGTATTATCCAGTGAAATAGACTTAATAAAAGAAAGATAAATGTGACAAGGAATTCAAAGGTTAGAATTTGAGAGAAGACAAAGAATGGATTCACCAGCGCCATTGCGAACGATTTTCAACCATGTCGTTCGAGGTCTCTAACTGTCGGTTACTAATAGCTCGCCGACCCCAACCTGGTAGTCTACACCTACTAACATTGATCAGTTCAGTTGTCAGTGACTTCATAGATTTATGGCATGTTTTGGCCGCCCGTAGCTTTCTTCCAACCTACTTGTAAACCATAAAACATCCTGAACTAAGATAAAATATCGGTGAAATGATCTTCAAAACCTTTCCAGTTTATGTCAGTTACTGACGGAAACTGTATTCAAGCTCCACCGATTTCCGCGAAATAAATTGTTTAGTTTTATCTTTTTTGTCACACTATTAATCAGGAAATATGCAGGCTCTGAATCAGACAAAAGCATGATGTTGACAACTTTAAATCTATAACACTATAAAAATTAATTACCAATGTACATAAGACTGTTTATGAGAAACATTTATAGTTGAAACTTTGATGTACGTGCTCAAAGGCAAACTTGTCAAATTGTTCATTTAAGAACCACATATCAGTAGCAACAACGAGAGTGCATTAACAGGAAAATACAAAATAGGCAGAATAAATCACCATAATCAAAATTCGTTCCCGGCATTTCATATACTATGATATGTCTACTCTTATTTACTAACCAAACACAGGTAACATTGATCGCATACAACATAGGAGACAAACTTTAACAAGATATTAGTTGGTTTTTCATAAAATGCTTTTCTTGAACTAGCCAACTCTTCATAAAGAAAGGAATATTCTAAAGAGATGATAGACACTCAATTACATGAAAGATATCTAGTCCAAAATCAAGAAAACAATCACAAGTAAAATAAAATCTCAGTCATAAAGGTTTTGCTTTGCAGTTTTCACCTGAATAAAATTCCAAGATAAGTTTACAGGATGGGATTATCAAGCAAATTGTTTTTAATACTAAAGGATATTCACTCAGTGTTTAACCTTAAAATTTAAAAATGAAACAATCACTTCTATTCATTACTTTTAAATTTATTTATGTGGCACGCTGTTTTCTTACATAAACTGTGTAAGTAATTGCGTAACTACAGAAATGCATTTAATGTTAGAGACGCTTACATCTGCTTGTAACTCCACAGCATTCAGAATTTCTGAACTTTCGTTCGTAGAAAATTCATGTGGATTTCTTAACATATTGATTTCGTAATTTCCATTGGGTGAACCTCGAGAATCCATAGCTACAAGAAGGCGTCTTCTTAGTGCTGCTTCAGTTCGACGAGCAGCAGAAAGACTAGTTTCCGCTGAACGTGCTTCAGCACGAGAACGTGCTAATTCATCAGTTAGTTCGGTTATACGTCTTTCAAGCTCACGTCGACGTCTTTCAGATAGACTAAGATGTGCACGAACTAATTCTGAGTCACCAGTCTGACGTAGTTCTTGCAATTGAGCACTGTAGTATGATGGATTATGTAATGAATTGGATTTTTCTTCATACTGCCTATCCACATTTCCAGATGGATCCATTGAGTAAAAATGACTTGGGGAACTGTGTGATATATGAACTGTATATAAAAAGCGGATAAAAAATCAAGAGATCAAAGCTAGTAAAGTACCAAAACGTGGGGAAATAAAGTGAAATAGAATTACTCTGAAGTTTCTGACAGCGCTTAACGAAGGCTTACCTGATATTCTTTGAGAAAGTAAAATTAATTCAACTAATATTAGGCATCGAGAAATTCGACAATATTTAATTGTTATATAGCTACGCAGAACTATAACATATTAGGTAATCAAAACATCTGTTATGCTAGATAATAAGATGAAAGACAGTAAAGAAGTTCATTTATTATGTTTTAAAATGCGTAAGATATCTCTGAATTGCAGCAGTAGTCAAAATGTTACAAACGGCTTCTGTTGTAATAACACTATATTTCGTAACAATGGTGTCAAACGTGACTCTAAATATTTATCAAACGCAGGTGACGTTCTTCAGGGAATTTGTCAGTTGGGATACCATTGGAAACTAGAGAGCACTGGGCAGATGTTTTGCCTTAGTATAAGCCTCTTCTGCAGTAGGTACTCACCATCTGGTAAGGAAAGAGATCTTAGAACAATCAGGATGTTTCAAAAATCAAAACTCTCTATTAGCAATGTAAAGATGCATCCCGATATAGGATAGATCGCATGTGAGTTGACTACTGTTTGTTGTCAGAATGAGGGGTTTCGTGGAGATGATTCTAAACTTTGCATCTAAATGTAGTGAGTCTGATCTTGTACTACCTGGTTTTCAATGGTATCTTAAAATATCGCATTTAATTTAAAATAAACTTTAAAAAAACCTTACATCAAATGTGTTGATGAAAATACTTTAGCGGAATAAAAACAGAATAAGTAAGTTTCTCAATAGTGATTATCGGAAGGAATCTCAGGTAACTTCATAACAAGAAAGAAATAACAACGTTGGCTTATTATAAAAGAATAAACCACAGTATTTAACTCACAATCACCAACATTTCCATTAGTGATTCGTTCTTCAACTGTAGAAGCACCTCGTTGTAGTCTAGAGAAAGATAACAAAATGAATTGACTAGTTCATTTCAGGTAGGCTAAATAAATAACTTATTTATTACATTAATAATAACCAATAAGCAGTCAATTTAGTAACCTCAATGAATAGTTTCATCGCAATTTATTGCATCTATTTTATTACTTCAGTTATTCAGGCGGAAATACTACTAGCACATCAGCAATAATTAAATAAATAACCAATTCTTACATTTTTTTTAAACACACGTTTCGTAATCTCCACTTGTGGAAAAAAAAATCAACCTAGACTAGTCTCTTATTTGTTGTTGTAGTCTGAAAATCCAAGACAGATTTTCCAATGCAAACTCCTATAAAAAATATTACATATCCAACATAAACTTTTTAAAAATTTTAAATGTTAACATAAGGACTTTAAGTAAAGTTAGACAGTAGTGATCAAAGGAATCTAGGAAGCCACATTTTGTCTTGTATGGGACTAATTAGCAGGATGTACCTGAATCTGATTGTTGATCTTCAAATGAAAGCTCAAATCCAGTTCCTTTAGATTCCGATGTTTAATAAATCATCAATTAAGCTGCCAAGTTCAGAAAACTATTTGTTTCTTCAACGGTGATAAGTTGTATTTTCATGTGCAAAGAATTGAATCTCCTCATTTTTAATGATAAGTGGTCGCTAACATTGGAATGGAGGTATATTAAATTGATGGTTCTCAAACAGTACAAAATATATGGCTCGAATTCCACAGATAAGCATTATCCAACTTTTTTGAAAGCTTTCGATTAAGTTGCAATCTGCTCAGCATGAACAAACACCGAAAAGGGACTGACAATCAACTGCAATCTTTGATATCAACACAGTAAAAATGCAAACCCACACAAACGAAGATAACAGTAGAAAAAGGATTTTTAAGAAATCAACTAATACAATAAGTAAATATATAATACGAGAGAAAGAAATAACTTGTCGTTCGCTTTTGTGTATTATTGAAAAAAATACCTTTTAATTTCTTGTTTCAAGCTTTCAATTTGACACTGTAAAGTTTCTATCACCTTTTGATCAGTATTATTCTATAGAAAAATAGCCGAAGAAAAAAAGTACGACAAAATTTCAACAATGATAAACGAACAGAATCAGAAAATTGTATTAGAATTTATATGTTACACCATAAAAAGGAAATTCTTATTATTTTGAAAGGGGAATCGATTTAAATGAGTTATGGGAACGTGGACGATTCTAGTAACCGTTAAACATAGGATTAGTACTGTATAGAAAAATCACTATAACAGAAGTAACTTGTGAACCAGGTGGGTAGAAAAACAAGTGAGGTTTAAAAGGAGTTAGTACCATCTAATTACTACATGGTTATTGTGAATGCATTGACGAAGGATTCAATTAGTCTAATATATATCATAAAATCTAGAAAATTCCTTTACAACAGTGCTTATTAAATTAGATCAGTTTGATAAGTGACTAAATTGAAATGTTAATGAAAATGCGTCAAAAGAAATAGTTGAAGGTAAGTTAATATAGAAACAGTTAGCAAATAGAAATGCTGACACCGTGTTTAGTAGATCTCACAAGTTTAAATAACAGGTTCTGAACACCGAAAATTTTATTTATTACTAGTCCACAAAAAACGTTTCCTATGGTGTTTAGGCACATCTTAGTGTAGAGATAATTGTTACTGGAAACAAAAAAGAAATGCAAAATACTCCTCGTGAAGACTTTAACCATGGTTAATGATGGTTAATGGAGGTGCACCTTAGGGGAATAAACTGATCGATTTCGTTATCATATCAATCACCTCAGAATATGAATATTTCGTATTCATTAACAGCCGACAATGTTTCAACATACATTCTGATACTGTTTTATGTGAAATAGTAGTGAATAGGATAGAGGGTTCGATAAAATAAGCCAGCTTCAATTGTGCCACTACATTGTCTGATAGCATATTCAAATTCCTCTCAAATACGATTGACGGATGATAAAGATCTGTATTCATATTGGTATTATTACTGCTTCCGTGGTTCATATTCCCACTTGTACTACAACAATGAATATCATCGGACATAAGGCACCAGATATACATCAGCTCGTAATTAGTGTAATTTGAGTATGACCAATTACATCGAACTTCTTCTAGTTTGCGCAAAAACACACGAGGGCAACCTTTGTTGTTCATTGTTTTACTACTTGTCGTCAGAGTGGTAATGTTTAATATATGTGATAGTTTATTAATAATAGTCCCACAATTTATTAATTTGGGATTTGTATCATACCACTGCATAACAGCGGCTAAATAGACACGAGACCAAAATGTACCATTGTTTAAATCAGATGGATTAAATTTATTAGGTAACCATAACTTAATATTTATGGAAGACTTTTGTTTGACTATTTGTTGTAAACCAGATTTGAAATTCTTGATTGAGTTGTTACGGAATAGTAATGTCATCAATTCATCTTTCTGTTTTAATGCATGAAACCATAAATATTGAACAGATAATTGTTGTGAATGATGATTATCAAACATTTTGACTCTATTATATGGCCATAGACCTGTCATCAACCATTCTGCATAACACATTTCATAAATATGATACAAAAGGTGACTGACACACTGGCTGTCTTCACGTAGAATACCATCTCCTTTAGATGGTCCAGTAATAGAACAATTCGTCGAACTATTCATTAATACACTATAGTTAAAACCGAGTATCGAAGAATTCATTGGCTGTGATTCATGCATTAAACAGTATGGTTCAAAGTGTACTGACATCAATATTCTAAATAATAATATGAATAAATAAACGCTACCACAAGGATTTGTATTTGAACATATTGTTTTTAACCGCTTTAAAATTTCACGATTAACACAATTCAACAGTTCATCTAAAAATGATGTTGCCTGATTATTATTTACAATCGGTTGTATAATCATCTCCCATACACGATATTTTAACTGAATAAATAATTGTAACAATTGGCTTGTCATATTACTAAGATCTGTAATCGGCTCTGTAATATTGTGAAACATTGATGTATTTGTTATTATCATTGTTGTATAAGTGGATAAAGAGGATAAGTAATTGATGGCATCCACAAAACTGTTGTATATCTTTGCAATGGATGTTAAATCAATCGGTGTTAAAATCAAATTGGTATACAATGTTCGTAGATATATTAATGTATGTATTTCACTTGTTCGACATAATGAATCGAATACAGTTGATGGAATTAATTCAAATACAGAGTCTTTGTTCATTCTGATATTGGGAAATGTATTGGTAATAGTGGTAGTCAAACGAAATTTTATCTTTTGTAGTGTATGGTTTGATAAACTGATTAAATCGACACTAGAAATTATCCATTCCACACGAAATGGTTGTAATAAAATTAAACCTTCACGAATTACTTGACTAAGCCAAAAGGAATCCTGAGATAATTTTTCTTTACAAAATGTATTAAATTCATTAAATAAATACTCATTTTTACTATTTGTACAATTTAAATAACCAGTCATTAATCGTTTCATATCTGATACAATACGTGTATATTTTCTCATTGAAGATTGTTTATCACCGAAATAAGTGCATATCAAGCATAATAATAGGTTTTGACAGAACTGATGAACATCAACTTCATAATGTCGAGGTGTTATAATAATGGCACGTTTATTGACAATATCGGTAGTTATATTGCGACTATCACGTCGTATACAAGTAGTACTATTATTACTATAAGTCTTTGAATTCAAATCATAATTCCAAATATCATATGTTTGTAAAGTAAATTGTGTCAATGTAAATGTATTCAAACTGGATAAATTTGAATTTAAGAATTTATTGAATTTTTTTTCAGATTCCTCCTTTAAAGCATTGAACAACAATGAACTGAATTCATGTATATGGGTGACAGGTTGTTGTTGAAATTTATCAGAGGCGTCTTTCAATGGTGAACTATATGCAAGCAGTTTTGTGTTAGATGGCGTTCTTTTCATCTGTGAAGGGTAGTGCATAGCTTTCGAAGAATTAATATTCTTCAAAGCGTTAATATCACAATTTATACTGTATAATACTAAAGATTCCAGTTGCAATTGAAAAGTATTGTCGTCTAATTGATTGTGATCGTTGTCAATAGACAATGAAATAGCTTTATCAAAACAAGTCTGGGTAAAACAGCTAAGCATAGTTTTTTGATTTGTCTGACAAGCTATCGATGTCTTTTTGTACCTTATTGAAGATAACTGATTCCTTGATTGTCCATTTTCATTAACTACTTTGTTCACCGATTCATATGGTGGATTTTTTAAATTATCGGCAACAGATTCTGTTTTACTGTCATTATTAGTTGTTGCTGTCAGTAAGTTTTTAGGATTTTCAAGTAATACCGTATCTCGACGTAAAGTGATTTTTGACTTTAACTGATCCACTTTATCAGTTTTGTTACTAGCAGGTTGATCTGGTGAAATAACAGGTTTATGATTTTCTTTTATGTTGTTTATAATATGTTTGTTATCAGCCTTTGAATCAATATCTTGCTGATCACAATCAGTGGTCACATTTGACACTGACAGCTGTTCCTTATTTTCTTTCAGGTAATTGAATTTACCACTATCAACATTATTAACATTTGGTTTAGTTGAACGGTTATTTTTAGAATTTGAACTACTATCAACAACATTTGAATGAATTCTAACTGTGTCAGATTTATTTTTATCTAACACAGCGATCGTATTTGAGGATAAAGTTTGCTTCACATCTTCTTTAGCTTGAATTACTTTTCTATCTGCGCGTTTATCAATATTTTCTGCTACAGTTATCCTGGTTTCTACTTCTTTAGTAGTGTCAGTAATATTTAGAGTGTTTACTGTGTTAGTCTTCACAGGTTCAGTTGATTTCGTCGGTATATTTGCTGTATATAAGGAACTGTTCTTTGAGTTCAACTCTTTACTACTTGTTCGTGCATCAATCTTTACAGCATTATTGCTTGTATTGTTCTCATTCTGAGTAGCGGTCCTATTATTTTTAACTGAAGCTTCCTGTTCATGTTTGTTGGTGGTTTCGTGGTCATTACTACTGGCTTTCGGATCAACCTTAGCTTCTGCAAAAATCTTCGGGTCGGTGGGCTTACTTGACGCATTTGTCGTCGGCTTAGTCTCCTTCTGCAAGGACCCTGGTTCATTCGTTGACCAGTGAGTGTCAGGAATTTTAGTGTCGTTATTCATGTTGTGGGAGGCTTTTACAGATGAGCTAGCGTTTTCTGTTTCAGCCTTCGGTTTTTCTACATCCTTAGTAGTGTCAGTAATACTGAGAGTGTTTACTGTGTTGGTCTTCATAGGTTCAGTTGATTTCGTTGGTGTATTTGCTTCATGTAAGGAACTTTTCTTTGAGTTCAAATCTTTACTACTTGTCAGTGTTTCAATCTTTACAACATTATTGCTTGTATTATCTTTTGTATGAATAAGGCTTGTGTCGTTGTTATTTGTAGCTGTGGGTTTGTTTACTGCAGCGCTCGCGGTTGATGAAAGGAAGCTAGAATTTGAGGTTTTATCATTTTGATTACTAGTTACTTTTAAATTTACAGTTTCCCCTGTTACATTACTACTGTTTCGCGGCATTTTATCAATAGGATTAGTGGTGCTAGTTGGGTCGCTAGTTTTTGGTTTTATTACATTTACTGGTGCTGATGAGTTTTCCTCCGTGTTATTTTTAACACCTGGTTCGTTCATTATTTCAATTTTGAGGTTTTTGTTTTTATCGTCCAGAGAAATGCTAGACTGACGAGAAACACTAATTTTGGATAGAACGGTAGGTGGCGTATGTTGTTGATTAGCATTTTCGCTACTTTTAGTGCTCACTAATTCATCAGTAGTATTCCCTACAGCAATAGATTCATGTTTAGGACTACTACTTTTAAAAAAATTTTCAACTTTATTTAATAATCCTGCTTTTTTGTTAGGATCACTAATTGAGCTCCTTGCACTATTTCCTTCACGACTAAAAATTGAAGATGGTCGACGTAATAAATCACTAATAGGACTTGTTGATAATAGTTGTTCTGCTTCAGGTTTTTCTCGAAGATTGGTTGACGATCGACTAACTAACTCTTGTGGACCATTATCAGGTATATGACCTATATGAAATATATTTTCGTTTTAACCAGAATTTATTTGAATTGACTTACATGACCTTTCAATCTAAAAAAATATGACACAAATGATTTAGCGTGTAGTTTTACCTTTTATTGAAAGAAAGGATTATACCGAAAATATTTCACAATACAATCAAGCCACCTTATATTATCGACAAATAACACTAAACAGTAGTATCAGATAACAAGGAAGTAAGCAGCTTCTCAATCGTCAGAGACGCAACTGTCAATCTAAATCACATAGCGTAAGCAATTATAGAGAAGATTAAGGTTCAAAGATATGATTAGAGAAGTATAATTCAGTGACATAAATTTAGAAAGGGAAAGATAGAGATGATGAGGCGTTCCGAAGGTTAGAATTTGAAAGAACACAAGAGTGGATACACTTGTGCCACTGCAAACGATTTTGATCCATGTCATTCTAGGTCTCTAACAATTAGTGACTCACGTCTCATGAACCCAAACCAGGTAGCATAAACATACATACATAACTCACACCACTTGTCAGTGACTTCATGGTTCTGTGCTATATTTCGGTTTGGCCATCCCTAGCGTTCTTCAAATATACTCGCACACCACAAAACATAGCTCGTCGAGGCAGTCGGTGGTCAGGCATTGTTCACACAAGTGATGACAACCTCAACTGATGAAGTTTCATTACTTCATCAATTGATCTGCCATCCTTAACTAGTGCTCGCTTTCTAATGACGAACAATGCTAATAAGACATACTACGTATGTAGTAGTAGTAGTAGTAGTTTATCGGCATTTCTATATTTTAAAATGAGAGAACAAGTTGAACCATGTTTTTAATATTGAAATTTCAAGGTTTAATATGAGCTGCATTGAACTGAATAAAGTTCAATTTTTTTATACTAATAATTATGTTCAAATACTATCCTCAGTTAATGATTCCTTGCTAATGATTTATGCATATTTTGAATGAACATATATGTAAAATTACAAAGAAAATTCATACATTTATTATGTATGAAATTCAAAACTTAGAAAAGAGATGTAGAAATCCTTTTTACGTAAATGTTGATTGCACAAACTGTGCTTCAACAAACCGCCACTTTACGAAATAAGGGAGTACTATCCTATAAATTACGATCACTAAATAGACGCATAGTGATAACATATTTGTGCGATTAGCCGATTGTTACTGTCCTAATAATGACACTATCCGTTAAATGAATTACTGAAGGGTTCGACAAAAATAAACATACATAGACTCAAGTGTAGGTGAAGTGCTATAATTCTTTTCCTTGTACGGTTTTTTCTAACAAAACACTCTCATCTAATAAAACTCATTAGAAGATTGGATGTTTTGGTGTGCAAGTACTCTAGGCATTCGTAATAAATATTTATTATTGTATCAAGTTTACCTTAATGTTATGCTATGAAATCTATCCTTAGGATGGTTCTACATGAATGTATATTCAGAAAAAAGTGATCGAAATTCATCATCCACAAAAAGCGAAATAACCGTTACAATGAACATTGACAATGAATTATTATCTACAAGTCAGCAAATAAACTGTAAAAATCAGATAAAATTTCTATACCTTGTATTAGACTGGATCAAAATATTAAAACAACTAACCAGTAAGTTGGTTATATATTAATTCCTTATAAAAGATATAAATAGTATAAATACACTCCACGATCAATTAGTCTGCATCGATCATTATTTCACTAGCTATTTGAATGTCTACGATTCATGTACAGATAAAAGTAAATATGTAAGTATCGTTCAATCTAATCGATATTTGTGCATATTTATATTTCTACAATGTGGACGAGAGGATAGTTGTGACCTGTTTTAGGTTTAGTGTGTGACATGAATGTGCAAATAAACTACCATATGAACGGACTTATGTGTGTGTATTAACACAAATAAGTGTTCATAACACAACTATAACTAATTTGAAAAATGATTTACATTCGAAAAACGAAAAATGACTTCGAAATACAGCTAACGACAATCTGAATATAATAAGTTGTTTTGTTTAACAAGGTAACTGTGTATCAGCTTTGGTTATACGGAGATGGACAGAATAAAGAGGTAATAAAAATACAGACTAACGTTATTTATCTTGTTCAGTTGGGTTTCACAGGATAGCACAGTAATTTATTAGGAAATGTATTATAAAGCATGACTCCTAAAGTTATATTAAATGCGAATTCCATAAACCTTTGTCAAAACCAATGTATCTCATATCACTTTTGCTTGTTGTGTGTAAGAGATTGATGGGGTAGTGGAGAAAAGTTGAAGCTTAGGTGGATGATTGTGGTGATGTTTAGTTCTCTGAGCTGGTTGTTTTGGTTGTGGAGCTTTCATTGTACTTCTGAACAACATCATCTGAACAAACTTCAGATAGAAGTGAAGCATTCGAATTTCTCCACGTTTGACCTGTAGCTTATTCTGCTAGCCTCGATCTTGATTGGTTATTATTGACCTTAAACCTGTCGTTGTTTGCACCTTTGTTTTGATTGTAACCCCTTTTTGATCTGTTTCTTTATCCTGTCACCTATGATTTTCCTGACTGGTTGATAAATTGGGTCAAACGTGGAGAAATTCGAATGCTTCACTTCTATCTGAAGTTTGTGCAGATGATGTTGTTCAGAAGTACAATGAAAGCTCCACAACCAAAACAACCAGCTCAGAGAACTAAACACCACCAAAATTGATGGGGTAGGTTTGTGATGAAGTTAAAAAACGACAGTTAAATTAAAAACAGATCACCGAAGTAATGAGGATGGCTTAAATTTAATGTGTCAAGCAACAAGCTATTCTGTAGTTTACACCGCGGACTGAACTAATACAATCATGGAAAATCAGAAAGCATTAAACAACTGCATCGTCCAAGTATGAAGCCATTGGCGAGACTATAACTTACGGACGAAACAATCACATTTGAGATAGCAAGTCTTGGATGTTGGCGTGAAATGTATCCATCTTTATGGGTAAATAACATCCTGACACTAAAGTTGACGTCAGTTAGCGATGAAAACCCACAACTTTAATTTATAACCTTAACGTGCAACTCTAAATCCTAATACTAATTCCTCACACTAATTTAAAACCTTCTTCTGCTACTAGTAAGTGGGTGGGTATTCTCAAGGTCACGTTGAAATCGTTCAAAAGTTGTGTGAAAATCATTGTCTCATCAAGCTATTCAGCAATGAGGATCCCTTGATTCACGCCTACAACATTAATCAATTAGAACTTTTACATAAATGTCTTCCAGTGGCATTGGTCAGTGTCTCATACTTGTCACCGCTGCTCATTAGGACTGTTAGACAAGCGATTGGAATAAGGAATGTAAGATAGTGGACAATGATTTACTGAGCTAAAGGCTAAAAGTTTTCACAAGATTTGAAAGTTCAAGGTTTTGAACCTGAGTTGAGTCGTTGATGTGCACTGCTGAGGAGTTCCATACTAAGAAATAATAGCTATTCAGTGCTTCCTGGTTAACTGAAGCCAATTCGTGATGTAATTTATGAAATCCAACAGTCTCCATAAACTGGAATACTAATAACAATCTATTTGTGCAATATGTACAATACCGCGTTTGTCAACGAATGATTGTCTTGATCTTATAATCTAGCTTGTCGTAGAATACATTGTAATAAGGTGTTTAGCTAACGACTGTTGGTTTTAAAAGGATGATGAGAACTATATCTTTAAGCTTAAAAAAGTAAGCGGATTATATATAAGAGAAAATAAATAGTTTCGAACTGGAGAACATTTACTGATAAATAGTGTCCGTGTCCCAATCTTGAGAAAAAAGACTGCAAATTATCTTAAAGTTGAAGTACCTTTGCGGTCTCTCTTAATACTCACTTTCAAGATAAAAGAGTTAAATTATTATTATAGTCAATAAAGTCCTGCTTAATCTCACTTTTCTATAATTGGAGTTATAGAGATCAGTGTTTTCACACATTGGAATCATCAGTCAATGATGATGACGATGATGATGATGACTAGCTTCGTGAGGAAATTCTCGGAGTTCTAGTGTAAAGACGTGACAAGTGGAGTTCAACCCTGTCGGCTGTAGGCAATAACTACTGAAAATTAATGGGTGAGGTCGCGAAAAATCTCTAGATTGATCAGAGTTAAACAATAACACTGTTGGATGCCGGCCCAGTGGTCCAGAGGTTAGGCGTTCGCGTACAAGACTGAAGGCCCTGGGATCGAATCCTGCGACTAGCAGGAATCTTGGGTGCTCAGTTGTGATGAGTACCATAGCGGGGCGAAATGGCATTAAAGTGCTTCCAGGTTTCCAATGGTGATCTAACAAAGACTAATTGATGATTCCAATGTGTAATCTCATATTGTCAAAATATTCGCAAACCCATTCAGAGTGTAAACAAACAGTCTGTCTTCAAACAAATATGGAATGAAACGATTACATTGATCATGAAAAGTTATTTTTCCCACAAATACGGTTACATAATTTGTTAATATTTTCAAGCTTTAATATAATTAAACAACTACATATATATATATATATATATATATATATATATATATAACAAAATTCACAACAGCTGGACTCACTGTTTTCGTATTTGCCTGATCAATACTGAAAGAGAAAGATCAAAATGTTTATCTAAATGAAAAACGTTGTTTTTTTTACTTTACTGCAACTCTGAGTTAATGTAAAATAAAAGTAGTGTTAAACCATCAGGTAATAAAACTGTTACTGCTAGCGATTATACAACTTCAGACTTAATGGCGATTTCGAAACATTTCTCTAACGATCCACGGTGCCACAAGGGACTGACTGATCAACTAGAATCTTTATTATCAGGTACTGGAAGATTGAAATGTCCCTTACAAAATGAACTGTAGTTCATCACTGTTGCACAAGCCAACAGTTCTCTGAGCTCAGTGGCTTAGCGGATAACGTATTGGGTGTTTGATGTTGGACGCATTAATTTGAGTCTCGCAGTGAACACCAGCAATGGGTTGCAAATCATCAAGCTTGCGTATCCCGAATTAGATAAAACGTGTGTCTTGTATCCCACTACTAGCCATTTTCCAACTCTACTTAAAAATGTTTATTCGTAACATGGTTTAGAAACTAATAGTTGTGGGGAAATTTTTCAGCTTCTTTTATTACGGTCAACCTCTTTTCTCAAATTTCTCACCAACAAACTTTTCAGTCAGGAATCTTAGAATTTAAATTCTCTATGATCTTGTTTAAATTCAAGAAATATTGGATTGTGATTATATTCACATCTGGACGATGTGAATACTGACTGGATTATGTTATTTTATTGCATAAGGAGTAAATTTAAAGTATCACAATGTAAAATAATTATTTTCTCGATCTTAAACTGATGCATAGTTTTATTGGATCTGTATTCAACTACTACAGTTTTTCGAGGCAAACAAACTAAATGAAATCCAACGATATGTTTTAGTTCGTAAAAAAGAAGTAAATAAGTTGAATTGAGTGAAAGACTAGTTATAAATCGATAGACTTGAACCCTAAAAGATTCTAGAGAATGAATTAAAAAACAAACAAACAGTCAACCGTGAGCAACGTAGAACCTGCAGATTTATATCTATTCACGTTTACACAAAATATTAACACACTGAGATTAAATTACCAAGACAAATCAGAGATTAGTAGTAGTGGTTACAGTATCAGTGGTAGTAGAAAAGATCAGTTGTAAACAACCACATTTCACGAAGCATACAGCATAAGCTAGTTTTAGAACTCAAAATGTAAGGGAAGACAAAAAGGAAATTCATTTCAGCCATCGTGATCAACTCTGACTCGCGTAGTCCCAAATCTTCAACAGGTTGCTACGACAAACACACTGATGCTCATCAAGTAGCCTGAACTTATTTATACGGCCCAGTTGAACGGTCAATGATTTATACGTATATATATATACGTATATATATATATATATATATATATATATATATATATATATATATATAATGGCGGTAATGAAGTTAAAACTTACTTATCATTTGGGTTTACCTCTAATGAAGTTGATACTGGTTTAATAGATTCGGATACTTTTCTTAATTTATTCACAGTTTGAATTAAATCATCATAGTTTTGGTTAGATTTTTCTTTTTCATTTGTATATGACGATAATTGTTTAGATGGTAATAGATTATCATTATTAGGATCATTCGTTAATGTATTTAATGTTGTATTTAATTCTTTGTTTAATGTTTCGTACTGTTCGCTTGTCAATAACTGACCACCTGAATTTAAAGTATCTTTTAAATTCGATAATTTTTCCATTTGTTCACTATTTAATTCTGTTTGAATTGATGATTCGAATAATTTTGGAAGATTTATATCTGGTGTTAATTCAGTATTGTTAGCTGGATTTTGCTTGAGATGTTTTTTTAATTGATTTATCTCTTGATCACGTTCATTTAAAAGTATCTGAAAGGTATGAATTGTTTGTTGAAGAAGTATATCATCTACTTTAGGAGATGCTGCTATTGTTGTTGTTTCCTTTACAACAAGTGGTTGTGATTGAGAAATAGTTGGCTGTTTTGTATAGTCCATCGAATGGAAAACACCAGTCTCAAAGTTAAAGTTGTTTAATAAAAGACGGAAAAAGTAAAATTAATTATCACAACATTTACGAGTTATGACGAAAATATTTTTTACTGGGTAGCAGAAGCATATAAGGAAATTAATAAAAAGGAAGTACTATTTAAAAAAATCCTATACTACCAGGAGAACAAACTCTTCTATATTATGAAAAACAATATAGCTAACGAATTAAATTTCATCCCAATAAAAAATTAGTCTTGGGTAAGAATTCGCTCACAAGCATTGAAAACCAAATACTAATAAATCAGACCATATTTTCCAACATTTTCCTACACCACAAAGCATAGCTCGTCGAGGCAGTCGGTGGTTAGGCATACGCAACACATGTCACAACCACATCAACTGATAAAGTTTCATTACTTCATCTATTGATTTGCCATCCTTAACTTGAACTCGTTTCCTAACGATAGCATTGCTTACTCGGTCGTCCCAGGATACAGGAGCAATGCTTCGGATACACCTATGATCGAAGACTAGTAACCTACGAATGTCCTCTACTCTTAACGGCCATGTTTCGCATCCGTATAGAAGGACAGAGCGAACTACTGCGCAGTACACTCGTCCTATGCTAAACAAGTTATGAGAGGTAGTTCGGTGCTAATTCCTTGATATGTGCTTATTTATTTACTTACGCCTGTTACACCCCCCAATGGAGAATATGCCACCGACCAGTATTCTCCAACCCACTTTGTCCTAAGCGATCCTTTCTAATTCTGTTCAATTGTTGTTCAATCTTCTCATGTCTGTCTCCATTTCTCGGCGTAGAGTGTGCTTTCGTCATCTCACTAGCCTTTAGCACTGAGGATTCCTAGTGAGAGATGTCTTGTAACGCAGTTGGGTGCTTTCCTCAAAGTGTGTCCTATCCATTTCCAGCACTTCTTCTTCCGCTGGAATCTGGTTTCTTCTTTCCCACAGTAGATGGTTACTGATAGTGTCTGGCCAGCGAATCTGAAGTACTTTGCGTAGGCAACTGTTAATAAATACTTGTATCTTGAAGATGATAGCTTTAATGGTTCTCCAAGTTTCATTGTTAGATCTTCCACATATTTACGTCTGTTGGCTCCGATGCTCCTCTTCACTTGACCGTTAGCTTCTGGGTATTCAGCTTATACCTTGGCTCTCTCTGCTCTTGTTAGGGTGATGTTGACTGCAGCCTTTTTGTTCCCTCTTTCTTGAATTTTTTTCAAGTATATCAACAGAGATCCATTTCTTGTGATGGTACTTCTTGTGGCCCCGAACCTCCTGACTTGTTGAAGTGGTTGCCTCCTTGGCCTCTTTCCAATTGTTCTCCATAGTAGTTTCCTCTCTATTACGTAGATTGTGAAAGGCTCGGAACCTATTGCTGAGAACTATCTTGAATTCGTTGAGTTTGCTAATATCTTGAAGAAAGGCCGTATTAAACTTTTGTGATGTTGCCCATCCCGTTGTCCAGTGCTTATTGAGTTTCAGTTTCATCTTGGTAACCAGCAAGTGATCATCTGAGGCAATATCAGCTTCTCTCGTGGTTCTCACGTCCTCCATGGTCCTTCTGAAATGTTTATTGATGCAGACAGTGTCAACTAGGTTCTGTGTAGTGTGATCCGACCAGAACCCATGTGGCTTTGTGTATGCGTTTATGTGAGAATATTGTGTGCCGCCTATAACTAGTTTGTTGAAAGCACATAGGTTTGCAAATCTCTCACCGTTTTCGTTCCTTCCTCGCAGTCCATATCGTCGCATGACGTCTTCATATTCGGTGTTGTCCATGCCAACCTTTGCATTTAGGTTTTACATCAGAATGATCAAGTCCTTTGTTGGGCGTTTTTTGACGATTGACTGTAGCTTCTCGTAGAATTGATATTTAACGTCTTCGTTTGCAGGTGCTTAGAATTGGATGACGTTCATTGTAATGCCCTCTTTCTTTATCTTGAAGGATGTTTTGATGATCCTGGGTCCATGAGATTCCCATCCTATCAGTGCCTTTTGTGCATGTTTGGATAGCATCAGTGTGACTCCTTGTGTGTGTGTGAGGCATTTTCTTCTTCATGACTGGAGTATAACAGCGGCTCTCCTGAAGCTAGTCTGTTTTGTCCTACCTGAGTTCAATGTGTTTCACTGATTCCAACCACATCCAGGTTGTATCTTTCCATCTATGCAGCAATTCGGAACAGTCTTCCGTTCTCGCGGATTGTACGAACATTCGGTTTACCTAAACTAATGGTTGCTTTTGTTATCAGAAAGGGCAGTGCTCTCGTGGCTTTCGAAGGAACTCTGCTTTCATCATGAGACATCATCATTCTTCTGAATGAAGACCTTCTAACTCCCAGGACAGCGTCAAAATATTTTGAATTACTTTTCCTGGTTAGCGTTGTTTAGCGAGTAAGTTTTCTACGGGATGTGGTCAGTAACCTCATACCCAACTCTTCTCCTTTATTCGGGCTTGGGGCCGGCAGTAGTCCCACGGGGGCTACATGAGGAATTCGTAGGAAAAAATATTTACCTTATTTTTATTGTTCATAAAGTTGCATTACAAATAAATTATATAACATAACAGTAATTAAACAACGGCTAATACATTTTTGAAATGATATCTTAATAGTGGCAAATAGTTAAGTTGTATATATAATTATAAGTATCACAATCATATCATGTTCCCCTAATTTGCATTAAATGGTAAAACATAAAAATAGAGCAATATAAAAGCTCACTGTATTTTGTTCAGAATGATCTATTTCGAATGATACAATCTCAGCAGATTGATTACAGTTACTATTGCTAATAAGGTCTTGTACATGGGATTCTAGTTTTTCTGAATATAATCTTGATGAATTCAATTTTTCTTTTAAATCTTTGACATATTCTAACTGTTCAGCTAATTGAACCTTATAAGAGATAGAAATATAATGATGAAATTAGGTAGAGTTTAAAAAAACTATCTGAAAAACAAAACTCACTATTAAAGTACACCGTCAAGTAATGAATAAGAAACTAAGTGACCTGAAACCCGGAAATTTCTTGTTTGTATACAGTTTTTTCACGTGTGCACTTACGAAAATTGGACAGAAAGCCGAACACACCTTTATAACGACAAATAACTAATCAGTAAGTCACATTAAGGGATATGAATGGATTTTCATGCTAGTCAATAAATCCTGTGACGAAATAGGAAATTACATAGAGCCGTGTATATGTTCAACAGACCACAATGGGAAGCAATCCTATTGGAGTAAGTTGTATATGAAATGATTTCATGGTAAGATGTTACAGGAGAATGTGTGACGAGAACAAAGTCACTTAAGTAAAAACGTATTTGTGGTTAACAGCCTGCACTGATCCTAGTTTCACAACCATTGGAAGCAGGAAAGAACTGGACAGCTATTTTCCCCCCTAAAAAGGGACTTTACAACCCCTCCACATGGGATCGAACTAAGGAATTACAGCCTGGAGCTCAATCTCAAGAGCACTGAGCCGGAAATCAATAGCTTATATGATTAACTCCAATAGGTTTGTAATATTGCACGACCATCTTCCAATTTACAGGTTCAGTAACTCTGTTAACACTGGGTTTCATTGTTTGTCTAAGATCGGTCCGTGTTATGAACTCCTATTAGCAACAAACTTGCGAAATAAGCAAATTGAAATCACATACACTGTTTCCTTTACTAAATTAGAGACGGCAAGAACGATGACATAAACTGAACAAAATGAATTCGTTTTATTTCATTGGGCTATCACCTATTTTCAACATGTCGTATTTCAAAATCAGAATTTATCCAAAAAATTTATGAAAATCAAGTTGACTAGAACTTAATTCGAAAGCACACAAGTATAGTGTACCAAATGTGGTAACAAAGTTAAAATGGTTGAGAGGAATGTTGCAAGTACATATCAGCAGATCCAAAAGAAGGGTTCAGAACATTGATAAACATCCTAAAAAAAGATTGAAACGTTGTGATGTTATTGCGCAGTGGGATACTAGTAACTTAAGATCGAGAAAAGACTGCAATGAAATAAAATCTCACGACAAAAAAAGTGTAAAAGCCATTCCATTCTAATACATTTTATAGGTTTTCAAGCATGTACTAGCAATAACTTCAAAGGATGATATGCTTGAATGTTATTACGAGTTCACCTCACTCGGTAAACGAAATGGAAGCAATGACTCAATGACACAATCGGCTGTTGTAATCCGTTTGTTCCAGCCCCGGCTAATTGAATCAAAAAGTTTTGATAAGGCGTAGAGAGTGTATTCTACAAGCATCCAGAAAATACGAGGTTCTCTAGGCCGCAAAATATCGTACTAAAATAATCCACGAACCAATGACAGTCAAGGATTTCGGAGTGGGATAAGTAAATTGTAGGTCAACCAAGCGTCTCTTGGCGCAGAAACACAAACATTGAAAATTTCAGAAATAAATTACAAGATTAGGACCTTTCCAAAGTGAGTTCTGGAGATCTAACGTCTCCAACACCCCTCCCCTCTTTGGTAGCGCACGTTCAGGTTGTGGTCATGAAACTGGCGGAACTTTCACATTTATCTTTTCCGCTTGCTGACACCGCATGCATTTTCCAAAAAACTCAGTGACATGTTGATCCATTAGGGGCGAGTATGCGTAACTCCTGGCTATGGATTTCATTCGTCTAATCCCAATCATCGTTTACTTGCGTTCCATTATATAGTCACACGATTTCAACGTTTCGATCTTTTTTAGGATGTTTATCAATGTTCTGAACCCTTCTTTTGGATCTGCTGATATGTACTTGCAACATTCCTCTCAACCATTTTAACTTTGTTACCACATTTGGTACACTATACTTGTGTGCTTTCGAATTAAGTTCTAGTCAACTTGATTTTCATAAATTTTTTGGATAAATTCTGATTTTGAAATACGACATGTTGAAAATAGGTGATAGCCCAATGAAATAAAACGAATTCATTTTGTTCAGTTAACGTCGTCATTCTTATTCTCCTCAAAATGATATCAATAAAAAAAACTACTGCCAAAAAGAATTATTTAATACTCCAATCGCTTATCCTAGCTTGATTGGTCGTTAAACATATGCGAAGTGGTAATGAAACAATCGTCATGGTTACGGTGAAAATAAATACTTATAAAGACACATTACGAAAAAAAATAAATTTATTACTTGAATGTCTTCGTTAACTGTAACTGTAGTGATTCATTCAAAAACAATTTTCAATGGGAAATAGACGGTACTAGATTTTTAGGCAGAACAGAAAATATTCTGAGGAAAAAAATCCATTAGTATTTACGGATCTTTTGTCAAACATTTTAATTTTAAAGAAACTGTATCACGCTTTTGATAAAAAGTATATATTATTTTTGAGGACGATAGATGATAGTAATAAAAATCGTACGGAAAAGCAGATGAGCATGAACAAAGATTCTCTAGCAATTTTAAAAGTAACAAATTTTGTTTCATTTTAAAATATATCAATTCTAATTTACGCATTTTGTCATATAAAACTACAGGACACCAATGTTGAAGGTTGCCGACGTTGACGTTCATGAAAATATAACAAATGTAGTGTTTGAATCTCACCCTGAGCATTCCCATCCTCTATTCAATGCAAACTATGATTCCGGTTGAAGATCAATTTTGAAATGTTCGTACAATCCGGGAGAACGGAAGACTGTTCCGAATTGCTGCATAGATGGAAAGATACAACCTGGATGTGGTTGGAATCAGTGAAACACATTGAACTCAGGTAGGACAAAACAGACTAGCTTCAGGAGAGCCGCTGTTATACTCCAGTCATGAAGAAGAAAATGCCTCACACACACACAAGGAGTCACACTGATGCTATCCAAACATGCACAAAAGGCACTGATAGGATGGGAATCTCATGGACCCAGGATCATCAAAACATCCTTCAAGATAAAGAAAGAGGGCATTACAATGAACGTCATCCAATTCTAAGCACCTGCAAACGAAGACGTTAAATATCAATTCTACGAGAAGCTACAGTCAATCGTCAAAAAACGCCCAACAAAGGACTTGATCATTCTGATGTAAAACCTAAATGCAAAGGTTGGCATGGACAACACCGAATATGAAGACGTCATGCGACGATATGGACTGCGAGGAAGGAACGAAAACGGTGAGAGATTTGCAAACCTATGTGCTTTCAACAAACTAGTTATAGGCGGCACACAATATTCTCACATAAACGCATACACAAAGCCACATGGGTTCTGGTCGGATCACACTACACAGAACCTAGTTGACACTGTCTGCATCAATAAACATTTCAGAAGGACCATGGAGGACGTGAGAACCACGAGAGAAGCTGATATTGCCTCAGATGATCACTTGCTGGTTACCAAGATGAAACTGAAACTCAATAAGCACTGGACAACGGGATGGGCAACATCACAAAAGTTTAATACGGCCTTTCTTCAAGATATTAGCAAACTCAACGAATTCAAGATAGTTCTCAGCAATAGGTTCCGAGCCTTTCACAATCTACGTAATAGAGAGGAAACTACTATGGAGAACAATTGGAAAGAGGCCAAGGAGGCAACCACTTCAACAAGTCAGGAGGTTCGGGGCCACAAGAAGTACCATCACAAGAAATGGATCTCTGTTGATATACTTGAAAAAAATTCAAGAAAGAGGGAACAAAAAGGCTGCAGTCAACATCACCCTAACAAGAGCAGAGAGAGCCAAGGTATAAGCTGAATACCCAGAAGCTAACGGTCAAGTGAAGAGGAGCATCGGAGCCAACAGACGTAAATATGTGGAAGATCTAACAATGAAACTTGGAGAACCATTAAAGCTATCATCTTCAAGATACAAGTATTTATTAACAGTTGCCTACGCAAAGTACTTCAGATTCGCTGGCCAGACACTATCAGTAACCATCTACTGTGGGAAAGAAGAAACCAGATTCCAGCGGAAGAAGTGCTGGAAATGGATAGGACACACTTTGAGGAAAGCACCCAACTGCGTTACAAGACATCTCTCACTAGGAATCCTCAGTGCTAAAGGCTAGTGAGATGACGAAAGCACACTCTACGCCGAGAAATGGAGACAGACATGAGAAGATTGAACAACAATTGAACAGAATTAGAAAGGATCGCTTAGGACAAAGTGGGTTGGAGAATACTGGTCGGTGGCATATTCTCCATTGGGGGGTGTAACAGGCGTAAGTAAATAAATAAGCACATATCAAGGAATTAGCACCGAACTACCTCTCATAACTTGTTTAGCATAGGACGAGTGTACTGCGCAGTAGTTCGCTCTGTCCTTCTATACGGATGCGAAACATGGCCGTTAAGAGTAGAGGACATTCGTAGGTTACTAGTCTTCGATCATAGGTGTATCCGAAGCATTGCTCCTGTATCCTGGGACGACCGAGTAAGCAATGCTATCGTTAGGAAACGAGTTCAAGTTAAGGATGGCAAATCAATAGATGAAGTAATGAAACTTTATCAGTTGATGTGGTTGTGACATGTGTTGCGTATGCCTAACCACCGACTGCCTCGACGAGCTATGCTTTGTGGTGTAGGAGTAGGTTGGAAGAAAGTTATGGGTGTGCAGACCAGAACATGGAAGAAATCCATGAAGTCACTGACAAGTGGACTGAGCCATGTCGGTAGGTGTCGATCACCTGGTCGGGGTACGCGAGATGTTAGTAAGCGATGGTTAGGGACCTTGAACGACATCGCTCAGAATCGTTTGCAATGGCGCAGGTGCATCCACTCTTTGAGTGATTTTCAATTCTAACCTTCTGAATTCCTCAGTGCTGATGTGGTATGACAACCTGAACTGATGTACTTATGTACGAAGTTTTGCGTTGTATCTGTCTGTCTGTCTACCTCTCACAGCTGTTAATAGTTATCCAATTTTTTATGGATATTTTTTAATAATTCAATAAGAATAAGATGCAGAAAAATAATAAATATTTTTATGACTATGAAATCGTAGTAACAGTTCCTAAATGCAAAGATACATGTCGCATAAACTAGCCCACCTTTGAATGTATCCTATTTAACTGATTTCAGAGAAAACTATGGAAATAATAAGGATGGTTAGGATGGGACACACTGCTAACTTCAAAGGTAACCAACTGTTTATTTAGGCTACACAGGAAATTGCTTGATTGGAACTCTCAATGTACTACAAATAATTAGTTCACTATATTGGGTGACATGTAACTGTAACTTCCCTTCAAATCTTTAGCATTCTTTCCAATACCCACTTCACAATCTCCCTGCTCATATTCGTCTTAGTATACATCAAAACGTTTCTTTCTTTCTCAAATATATTTTTTCACTATTTTTTAACAGAGTATAAATGTAAATTGATGCTCTGTATGCGAGTTCTGTTTGTTGTATTTGATCTTTGCCCAAGATACATTATTTGTATACTCATATATAAAGGCTTTTAATACTCGAGATCAAACTTTTGTTTGAAATAATTGTATTGCATGTTCTTCATTAATCGATCCGATCTTGAACATTTGCTAGTTAGTCACATTCTGTCTAACGATTTCATCCATAAACATTTACATTTAAATCTCATTTATAAAACTCTAAAATTATAAATATAGATTAGCAAACTTAGCATCAGCTCTTTTATGACTACATGTACGCTTTGCTGACGTGTCAAGCAGAACGTAACCAAGGTTCAGAGTTCCTATTGACTACCTTAAACCACCACGCTGCATCTCGACATAATGTTAGTGATGTCGAGTCGCCTAGACTAGTGGCTACATATCAACTCAATCGATACAGTTCTATCTACACTAAAAAGAACCTGCTATACATGATATTTGTCACTATCCCGTGATTAATCAATTGCATAAAAGTTTAAAACTTGATTACAAGTGATTAAAAATAAAGTTATCGATTAATTCGATATAATTAACGGAGAAATTTAATATTTATCTGTATTTTGACATATTCAGTATGTTATTACAGTGATAGTCATTTGCACAGTTTTGACATTTTTCCAGCATAAAGTTCATTAAAATATCATTATTTAAATGTATTCATTATTCACTAAACAAAAAATCTTTACACTGAGTGTTTTCTTTCCCAAAATATATGTATATACTAATCGCACGCGATTTTTCACTTTAATAGTTGAAGACTGGATCGAGAGCGGGAGCTTAATGCTGGACAGTAAATGCATGCAGTCACTCTTGAGTTTACTGTTTTCGTTATCTTGTATAGAAAAGAAGAGACAATAGCATTTGGTTTGATTCCCGATTCTTTTAAACAAGGTTTAGATAGGAGGTAGATGATTCGCAATTAGACTGTAAAATTACTGACCAGCAATGTCGATACTTCCTTAAATACACGTGTAGTTTGTGTACTAGTATGTTGAGCCCACATGGCCTGTCCTAACTTTCGGACAAACTGATAAACCTTTTCTGTCCAAGTCACTATTCACTCGTCTTTCGACCTTGTCAATTATTTGCTAATGTCTTAATTGTTTTTATTCTACCGTACGACTTATCTCCTACAACTCACCGTGGGACTGGACAAACCAGATTTCAACTCAGGAAGAAATTATGAAAATAGGCTAGAAGCGGATAGAACGCACATTGATGAAAGCACCCAAATGCGTCACAAGATAAGCCCTCACTTGGAACCGTCAAGGTCAAGAGAAAAGAGGAACACACTATACCGAGAAACGGACAGACATGAGAAGAATGAATACAAATGGACAGAATTAGAAAGGAAGGCCCAAGATAGAATAGGTTGGAAAATGCTGGTCAGTAGGTAGGTGTTTGTGCATGCTTACTTCTCTCATTAAACGTATACCTTATTTTATTTGGCTATAAATAGTTAGTAATGCCTCAAAGCATTGAGTTGGCTCACTCGCCTAATAGACTTCGCTTCGCTTCCACGTTTTTCTTCTGCTAAAATGAATGTATGGAATAAATTCATCCATAAATCCGTGTTCGGCTCTTAATAACCGCCGTCGCACAAATGGGGTAACATAGAGAAGGTGAAGGGAAGATTCAATTCATAGCTTATTTAATCGGTTTTCAAAATCGGAATCGAATTGAGGGCCACTAAAGACGTTTCCCTTACTTTTCCACCTTGACCGCAAAAGTATTAAGTGGTTTTTATTGTCACGTAACACTAACTGCTTTATAAAGGTAATATGAGTCGATGTCAATCAAAATAAATCGTCGTCAGACAATCGAGTTAAGTTACAATCTTGGATTCGTCACCGGATGCAGATTTACACTTGATAGGCTAAATAAACATGAATACCATTTAATTGATTGTCTATTAAATCGTACATCCGAAGTAGTCATGTAGAAATAAATGATGAAATGAAGGTAATTTTACTGAATAAACCAAAGTAATTAAATCGAAAATCAATTACACTAATTGTCTCTCAAACTCAATATATTTAACATGTTAGTTATAGCGGCCATATGATGATAATAGGTAAACATTACCCATTTATTTCATTTTTGCACTGGTTGTTTGAATCTTTCCATTTGTGCTTAGGACTGCAATTGATCAGTTTATTTTGGCACATGTGCATCTTGTGAGGATTACCTAGATATTACCATTACGTCACAAGCATTATAAGCAGAGTTGGATAACCGGTAGTAGTGGAATATAGGATGCAAATCTCGTCCTACTTGGAACTCGTCCGTTAAGTGTACCTACATCTCAACGTTGATGTAGAATGCGGGTATTTCCAGCGGAGGAGTCTCAAATAGGACTAAATGCTCAATCTAGATTCCACTGCTAGCAACCATCTAACTTTACTCAAAATTAAAAGAGGAAATATCCTCGTCTCAGCTGCATGTATAATATTACTAAGTATCATAGGACTTTTATTTTTATAAAGTAACAGTCAGTGATAGAAAAGATACCCATAAGCAAAGTTCGAATCTAGTCTTCTCATTCCAAATTTAGGGATGGTGTAATTTTATTAGTAATTAAATAGGTACATATTAAATACACTATAATTTTATTTGTTTACAGCACCGTGCAACAGTATTACTAACACTTGCATTACTTCATATCAAATAAAAATTATCTGCCTTTAGATTTAGCGGAAAATACTTGAAGTCGTTTTCTCGACTCTGATAGGCTCGTCCCCATGGTATAATTTTGCACACTTATTTTCAAGATAAATGCACCAATCGAATGAACCAGAAACATTGTATCCTTTCAGTTTTGTGTTACTAGTGAAACGTTTACCTGAATACTAAGCATGATCAGCAAATGAAACATTCACTTAGTTACTTAGCTGAATGATGAACATGAAATCACTTGATTTTACGGAAACATAAATTGGTTTAAAAACATTATTGAATAAAATTGAGCTTTCTATTTAACAGACATTAGGAAGCACGTCGCCTAGTTACTGGAATCTGTTTGAATGGTATGTTTTTTTTCTTTCACGTCAACAGCATTCTTTCGCACATAAGGAATATAATCGATTAGGGAGTCCTTTAGCGACATAGAGCAATTTCCAAACTACCTAAGCCTGATCATCGAACGCTAGTGAAATAACATTTGTTAGAAAACGAAATCAGACAACAAATCACGTATAAAACTATTAGGTCAGAAATCAGTGAGTAGACAACGTTTCATTTTCCTACAATATTGACAGAGACTTCGGTTTGACCGATCAATACGTCATTTGTTAATGTCTGAATTCATGTTTACTGATGCACAAATATGGATTGATTATGGACTCAAAAGAACAACCCATACACTGAAGTACATTGCTAAAATTGATATTTGACCCCGAAATTATTGTCATAGTTAATTCATATAAATAATGTCACAAAACAAGATATTAATTCGGTCACGAAAAAGAAAATTATAGTTCCTTCATCTGTAGTACATTAGCGATGCCTATTAAAAAAATAACTGAATGATTTGCGAGCAACAAATGAAAACAGACTGGGTAATTCATCAGACCCTAGTAAATATGAGAACTACAGAGGCATCACACTATTATCAGTACCATGAAAAGTTTTCAACGGTGTTGTTAAACCGAATGAAAGATTCAGTAGACGCCTTATGATCGAACGCGTATAGACAAAATCGTGACACTACAGATTACTCCACAGAAATAAATTGAACAGCACTCATCACTGAACATTACTTTCTTTTATTTAGCATTCGAAAGCCTCGGTAGGAAAACCTTAAAGTACCTTCTTTGACACTATGGTTTACCTAAGAAGACTGTTACTGTCATACGGGGCTCTAACGACGGACAACACTGTAAAGTGTGGCTTGAAGATATGTTCCAAGTGAAAATTGGTATCACAATGGCTGATTTTTTGAAACTTTCTTCTTTCTTACGACCTATGTATAAGATACAAAAGACTTCAAACAGAATAATTAACTACAAAGAAATAAAGTTTCCAAAATTAAAAACTTTAAACACTAACTTTAAGTAGTCTAACATCAGTAGCCAGTGGTTTATCACTTTCAGCTAGTGAATTATCAGCGTCATCGACATGAGATAATTGGTCGCGCAGTTCGATGTTGTCACGACGTAATTCTTTAACTAAATTGTCAAGATGAGTGTGCTTAGCAATAGCAGCTGCAGTTTCAGCTTTTTGATTGGATAAGTCACTCATGAGTAAACTTATTTGTTCCTTTAATTGAGATATCAACTGACGACTGCCAAGGCTTTCCTAGATTAAAATAGAAAGCAGTAAATGAAATTTTAGATTTTATAGGCTTGTAAATTTTCCAACTACAACAGGACTTACAAAAAAGTTTACAGTTAAATAATCTGTGTAAACGTTTAAAAAAACAGCGAACCTCACAAAGAAAGAAAATTGTGAACATTCGTTCGTGTCACAGAAATTTGGATAAAAATCTTTTGAGTTAGCTGATATAAATTAGATGTTTAGTCAATGAGTTGGTTCACTCCAGTATTTCATCAAATGATTTTTTTAGGATAGGCTAGGGAATTACGGAAGAAAACCAGGCTTCAGTAAACAACTATGATAAGGAAGACGTTGACGGTTAGTACTAATTGGAGAATAGGTTCAAAAAAGTCGATTACAGACAGGTTTAATCAACTATGAAAGTGAACCTCTAGTTTGCCCGGGCACTAAACCGAAAACTGACTAACTTCAGTGCTTGAAAAAGAGAACAAAGTTTCTTTTTCATTCTTAGCGATGAAAGTAATCTTAAAAACTTGTATGTTCCCCATTAAATAGCTGTTGCTGAAATGTATGACTAAATTTGAAAATCCTTTAAAAATGAAGGAAGAAGAATAAAATTGGAACATGGAATACAAATTCAAAAAATACGGACTGTTAGAGGAAAATCAGTAAATATTATCTCAAACAGACAATTTAGCACTAAAATACTAGGATATCATTTAACTCAATCAGTCAGTCAGTAACAACGTAGAACTTCGTACGTACGCACTTCAGTTCAATTTGTCGCATTAGCACAGAGAGATTGAACTGTCAATTCAAATCCCATAGTAGCAGAAGTAGTAGAAGTATTAGCGGTAATAAAAAAGCTTAGGGATTGGAGACATGATTCGAGAAGTATGATCCCGTGAAATAAATTTGTGATGAGGAAAAGGTTCATGAGGAATTCAAACTAGAATTTGAGGGAAGACAAAGAATGGATGCACGTGCGCCATTGTAAACGATTTTGAGCCATGTCATTCCAAGTCTCTGACCACCAGTTACAGTTGTCACGCGGAAGTTAACCGGGCAGTCTACACCTATTACCATTGCTCAGTCCACTAGTCAGTGACTTCATAGATTCGTGCCATGTTTTGGTTTGGCCAACCTCAGCTTTCTTTTGGCCTGTCCCTACATCAGATAAAATCACTCATCGGGGCAGTCGGTTAGACATACGTAACACATATTCCAACCATCTAAACTGATGAAGATTCACTACTTAATCAATTGATCTGCCATCACTACCTAGCACTCTTTTCCTAACCCCACCAGCATTGCTCACTCGGTGGTCCCGGGATATACAAGCAATGCTTCTAAAACAACTATGATCGAATACTAGTAACCTACAAATACCCTCTATTCTTAGTGGTGATGTTTTACATCCATAGAATAGGACGGAGCGAACTGCTGCATTGTAAACTCGTCCTTTGGTAAGATCTTTGCAAAGTTCTAAACCATGAGGTATATAGTTAGTATTTCCACTATGGACAGTACGGTTTGTAATAGTAAAGAGCTAAATTCGAAGGGTAATAGCTTAACCTTTGCGGACTTCTTCAATGCATGATCTATCCTATGCGGAGGTGAACATTATTTATGAAACATCCTTCTGAAAATATAGTGGAGAGGATATTAGGTTTATAGTAGTGAGTTCTAAAACTATATAAGGAAGAACAATATGAGAATACTACCCTACAAATATTATTGACACCGCAGATTAATCATGAAAATAACGTCCTAGCAACAATTATCAAAATCAAAATATTTTAGAAAAAGAGCTTTTGCAAATAAATGATTGTGGTTAGTCATTTTCTCTCATTTTGATGCGGTTTATAACGCTTTAAGTTTTTAAGTCAATATGTTTAGTGTTTATTAATCAGCAATTATTTTGGAAATGACTACAGTTAGAAATGTAAACCATTACTAAATAAGAAATCACTGAGGCACGTGTATGATCCCCATTGAGTCCTGGAATGAATATTAGCTGTTCAAAATTTTACTTTAAACTGCACTGTAATGAAACTAAAAATGTGAATCATGTAGTGTCGTGTGGATCCAGATCGCAATTGACGGCATTTTAATTCTACGTTCTATGCTTCTCTATTTAGCCTGAGATTGAGTGTAAACCAATAAATTACAGCGACTAACCTCCGTTTGAGTTTCCACATGTATAGCGGGAGGAACCCTTCTCAATTCTTCCTCAATCTATTGAAGTAATAAAGAATAAGGCAATATGAAATGAATGGATACCATCAAAACATTATGTATAAATTTAATTGAATGTATAGGGATAAGAAAGTTTAACATACCATAGCTTTCTGATTCTCAACTTCAACAATTTGAAAATCCAGTAATTCCAGTTGTTCTTTCATTTCTACTTTGGTTACTTCTAATCTTTCAATTTTCTTCGCTGATTCAAATAACTAATATAATATAGTTATAGGCATACAAAAAACTACTAACCTGATTTAACAGTTTCTTGTTTTGACGAATCAGATATCTTCTTTCCTCAGCTTCTCGAGGATCCTTTAAGGGAGGAATATCAAAGGAAAATGAAGAAGGTGAGTTTCTGTAACTTATTACAAAAGAATTAACATTTTCAGGTGAATATTAGAATTATATCACACCAAAATACATTGAAATCATTGCTTTCTGCACAACACACCCCGTACACCTATAATAATACAAACAGAATAAACTAAGAATTCTTAAGAATGTTAGATCATCTCAACAGAAAACTTAGTAAATATTGTAGTGCCTTCACATAAACTTGAGTTCGCTCATATTTAATTTGATTAAGCCTTTTCGATTAACTTATGTAACCAAGCTACTTGTATAGCAACAACCCATATGTACCATTGGTATTTTTTACTGTCTGGTTTGTATGAGCTTGTACGACTGAGTATTGCTTACGCCTACGCGCTTACTCATCCTTTTCGCTTTCATGTTAATCTCTTAAATACCGCTATGACTCAGATATCTTCTTATGTATGTATACGAACATTTTAATCGTATTAATTCACTCGCACATTCGCCCATTCACTCGCTAGTGTACCTGCCCGGTCTGCCATCCCTATTTGCGATGTGCCAAAATAAACGTATTCAACACTTCCAGTTTACCTTCTGATTTAAAAACCGTCAGACGCTATTTATAGTAACAATTGTCTGGACGAGCTAATTACGAAAATTAAGAAAACGTCGAAAAAAAGGTCACCACAATATACTGAAACCAGTGGATCTTATCTGAATAAAGGCGTGTAATCAAGATATTTATAATTTTTACCACAAACATAAATAGAGAACTACGTGGACAAATAACATATGTGAAATAAAAGCTGTTAATTAGTTCACTGCATAATTTAGGATCAAAGCTCAACTGAACTCTAGTAAACATGATTGGCAGGTACTCCAATTTCTTAAACTAATTTCTGGATAATTTTTATAACTCCATTTCCGAGTAAACTAGTGAACTAATCAGAGTTTACTTCCGTTATTTTTGAACTCTAAAGTGTATTCCATTGGGAAGGAAATAAGTTATTGTTGAATTCAAAATAAATGAAGATCACAACCCAACCTGTACTTCATCTAACTATTATTTTGTAAAAATATGTCACTTAAAACGTGGGAGTATCTTTAACCGTAATAAAGTCAGTTTTAGGCTTATCAGTTTGTTTGCATAAATAAAATCAAGTGAATATTTTTATATTAAAGAGCACAAAAATTAATACAAATGAAAAAATGGCCAATTATGATGTATGTACGAAAGGTAGAAGATAAAATCAATATAATGACAAATTGTGACCAATAATCATTTCTGCACATTTCCGTTGACAAAATCTGAAATGAAAAATTTTCTGAGAATTCGTCTTACTTTCTATGAACAAGATTTGTCAATGAAATGACAAAGTTTGATATTTACAAATGTTGTATATCGATTTATAATGTCTGCACACATGTTCCATTAGGAGATAACCAATAACATAAATGAACAAAATAATATCTTAAAGTCAAAAAGATATATGCGTTGACTTGGGTTTCTCAACTGTTAGTTTTATCTTCAAATAACTCAGATTAAATACATAGACAGACAGACAGATACAACGCAAAACTTCGTACATAAGTACATCAGTTCAGGTTGTCATACCACATCAGCACTGAGGAATTCAGAAGGTTAGAATTGAAAATCACTCAAAGAGTGGATGCACCTGCGCCATTGCAAACGATTCTGAGCGATGTCGTTCAAGGTCCCTAACCATCGCTTACTAACATCTCGCGTACCCCGACCAGGTGATCGACACCTACCGACATGGCTCAGTCCACTTGTCAGTGACTTCATGGATTTCTTCCATGTTCTGGTCTGCACACCCATAACTTTCTTCCAACCTACTCCTACACCACAAAGCATAGCTCGTCGAGGCAGTCGGTGGTTAGGCATACGCAACACATGTCACAACCACATCAACTGATAAAGTTTCATTACTTCATCTATTGATTTGCCATCCTTAACTTGAACTCGTTTCCTAACGATAGCATTGCTTACTCGGTCGTCCCAGGATACAGGAGCAATGCTTCGGATACACCTATGATCGAAGACTAGTAACCTACGAATGTCCTCTACTCTTAACGGCCATGTTTCGCATCCGTATAGAAGGACAGAGCGAACTACTGCTCAGTACACGGATATCTCGCCTGCGATCCAGACTTGAAACAATATTTTGCATTTTGAGTTGGAAAACCGCATCCCGAACATGCTTGTATTGTTGCTCAGGGCGGTCAGAATACTCTGCATTTTGTCAGCGTCTTCACCGAATAGAACTATGTCATCGGCATATTCTAGTTCGATAAGCGAGCCTCCCGGTAAGAGGTCTACTCCTGAAAATTCAGACGAGGATAAGGTTATTTCTAGGAGCATGTCTATGATAAAATTAAGCAAGAATGGAGAAAGTGGACATCCCTGACGGACACCACTTGAAGAATTCCGTTGACAGTTCGCCATAAGCTCTCACTCGACCAGTGGTGTTCGAGTAGAGAGCTTGTACAAGGTTAATGTACTTCTTTGGTACACCTTTCAATGACAGACACTGCCACAGAACCTCACGATCAACAGAGTTAAATGCCGCCTTAAGGTCCAGAAAAACAACTATTGTAGGACGCCTAAATGTGTGTCTATGTTCCAGGACCTGTTGTAGTGTGAAGATGTGGTCTATACAGCCACGTCCAGGTCAAAAAGCAGCTTGGTTTTCTCTAGTCTACTCTTCACGAGTTTTCGTTAAGCGCCGAAGTATTATTGAGGCCAATATTTTAGATACTACATTAGTTAGACTTATTCCCCTGTGATTGTAACAAGAAGACTTGTGTCCTTTCTTATAGATTGGACAATCAGTGATTGAGACAACTCGGACGGGATTATGTCCAGTTCTCAGATTCTACCTAAGATCTCAGTAAATCTAGCTGGTAAATCTGGACCACCATCCTTAAATATCTCAGGGGTCATTCTGTCAGGACTTGCAGCTCCCCCTCGCTTCAGATTTGCTAACGCTTTCTCAAACTTCATTAAGAGTAGGGGGAATTATGTCGATTTGCCATTCAGGATGACTGGAGATCGTGGGTAACCGAAGAGTTGCTCGAGGCCAGTTGAACTGATCTCTAACGTGTTCTGCCCATCGGTCCAGTCTCCTGGATTGAGAATGGATAATGAGACCATCTCACTCACATTCGGGTTCCTAATACCAGTTTCCTTGATAAGTCGGTACAATTGTCTATTGTTGCCTATCGCCGCTGCTTTTACCATCAATTTTGCTTTCGCCACCCACAACTGTTCACGGTCATCACGTTGCCTTTTTATCAGCCCAAGCCTGAGCTGACTTCGTTCTTCATCATGTTCAGAGCCAGCTGGCAGGAGTTTTCGAGCCTCTTTCAGTTCGGTGGATGCTAATGAGATTCACGGCTTCATCCTAGGATTATGGTTTACCTTACTAGAAGATATCACTGCTGTTTCCACAGCATTCTTGATATCATTCCAAGCTGCCTCCGGATAGGAATCACTTACACGGTTGCCTAACTATCTTTCTAGTTGTTCCTGGAATGTATTCTTAGCCTCATTATCATTAAGTGAAACCCTAAGAGGTTTCGTTGCGGTGTCTTCCCTACGTCCAGAAAGCCGCAAACAAATACGAGCTCGCACTAGGGCATGATTCGACTCTAAACATGTGCTGCAGAACGATCGACAGTCCTCTATCGAACCCCTCCATCGGTGGATGACGGCAATGTGATCTAGTTGGGTCTAACGTTGAGACGACTTCGGGGACTCAGTCTACCTACTTAAGGATTAAAGTAACCAGCCATTATTACTAAATCGGAGCGCCTAGCTTTTTGGAGGAGATTCGAAAGCTTTCTGTAAAACTCATCTTTAACCTCGTCTGAACTGCAGTCAGTGGGGGCATAGGAAGATACGACGAAGAGATAACGACGGGTGTCCCGATCTTCACGAATCCTTACTCTTGTGCTGTTACGGGTATGAGGGCGGTTGTCACTTCCCGGTCGCTCACACCGTGGAAGGTTGTTCCTAGAGGAACCTGAAAAGGAAGGTAGATTTGCTTTGGTCTTAACGACCTGGAAGCGTGACCGCAGAGCCCAAGGGACAACTGCTTGAGGCCGGTCACGCAGGGCCTTTTTATGAGAATTTTTTGAGTATTAGCTCCGCTATTGAAAGACCTTAGTGGGCACCCTTACAGAAGGAGACGGAAATCCGTGAGGTAGGGTGAGGTGTGACATTTTTAAGGTCGACCTTTTCTAACTCTTCCTTCCTTGTTAAAAGGTAGCATCGCTGCAGATGCTGGTTGTCCGAGGGAAACACCTTACTGCTGTCACACCCCTCTGCAGTCAGCAGTACGACTTCGCCCTCAGAGCTTGAGTAGCCGCTTTTAGTCTCGTCGTTCTCCAATCGACCAGCTTGGCATGGTAGAACCTTCAGGAACATATGTTGCAGCCAGTATAGCTCGGTTGGGTCATCACAATAGGCAAGCCCGACCACCACGTCAAGGTAGCAGCTACGGTTGGGAAAGACATAAAACACTTTATCCGAAAGGTTTCAGGTTTATTTAGTTAGACAGAACATTCAAAGCCTAAAATCCATGACTAAAATTTTTGATACGATGTCACACATTATATTCACAAAATATTAGCTTTCTGAAGCATGTAGTCCCTGAACTTCTAAATAAGGAAGCCAAGAACCAATAGGGCTGGTGTGCCAGAAACAGATTTTATTGATTTGAATGTAGATATTTCTCAATACTTATTGATAAACAGGCAGAAGGAATTAGGATTAATTTATTGTCTCACTAGGGTATACGCTAATGGTGACGGGCTAATCCTAACATGGGATCAGCTACGCTTGAAATGACGTCTCCATGGAAGTCACGATGTAAAGATTGAAAATCTTACCAAGTTCGATCTGAATATGAGAAGCGATATTAAGTGAAAACAGGTCAACACTAATAAAAACTCTAATAAACATCGATTTGAAAATATATGGTCGTACATTCAGCTTTTAATTACATTCACTACAACCAGTGGGTCGAGAATTTGTCGCTAATGTGTCAATAGATATATTCTGACTAGTTTTGAGTACGGCTAACATAAGAAGCTGAGATCACTTAGCTCCAGCTTTATGATCTTTTACTGATAGCTTAGAAGAATTTTCCAAACCTACTTTTGTATAAGATATATATGATATGACAGTTTACTCGTAACTTCTACCTAATTTGTCATCGATTAAGGGTTGTGGAGATTATTGAGTTTTATTCAGATCAGCAAACGATCAATTTTATACCACCACTTAAAATTTGAAAGCGATGGATGGTCGTTTCGTCTTAGAATCGGACTCATTAGTATATGCATCCGTGGCCCCGCATCACAAGCGGACGCAATAATTTCCTGACCACCGAACCGATACCCGACGGTACACTATTCACGGCTTCTTACTGGAACTCTGAGAATCCCCTTTGGAATCTAGTCACTAGTGAAAAAATGATAATAATCAGTGTTTGGTAATTCTGTGCAAATGCATTTGAATGTTTGGTAGAACTTTTTGATACATGTATGCATGGACTTTTGATTGTATGTTACATTTCATCTATGATTTTTGGTACCGAAATATCACGAGTCGTGAGCAGTTAGTGAAAACCTGACAAAACGAAATAAAATAATGTTATTCTGCCTAAATTTTGGTTCTTACCGCTAACAAATTCACAATTTAAATTTAATTTTGTTGCAGATCAGTGACCTAACGTTCAGAATATGATTCATCATATTGTACGGAGACGGAAATCGACGATAAACTATACGAAAAAACTATTGTTACCATTATTATTAAGCGCTAATCCATTTTTGAAAATTCTTAACATTGGTTAATGAACAATTATCGAGAAACAGTTTGGATAAAACATTGAATGGCAATGTATCTAGAACTTCCAATATATATTTGTATTCGAAAATCATACTCTCCGTAGGAAAGAAATATTTGAAGTCACACTTTCAGATTATGTACTATTTTGTAGTTGATGATTGTGCTACGGTCGTGAAAGAATCGGTAAGCATTTTACATGAGATATTTTCCATGACAGGAATCAGTGATTTAAGGCTTAAGAGTCCTTGACCCTAAGCATATTTCTCTAAAGTATTATTCCAAATGTTTTACATTCGTTTTTGTATTTCTCAATGACTTTCAAATGCTTTTTCCATAGGATAAACTTTGCCACTACTGTTCTTCATATCATTCCATAACGACAAATAAATCTCTCAAACAAATGCTTCTAAGGACTTTGACATTTGTGCTAACCTCACTAATTTTATTGGACACATTCTAGCTGAAGGCTCTCCATCACGCATCTGCATCGAATCACTTCCAAGTATACCGTGTTGTGTATCCGTCTTAACTAGCCAGCTTTATATCAGAGTATACATTTCATTAAAATTTATGGCTTTTACACCCCACACTTCTGGTGAGTTAATGTCGAAACCTGGTTCTGCTACGCAGAAGCTGACTTCCACAAACACGGTACGAACAACCCATAGTGGCAGATGTTTTCAATATTGAACCTGCTGCAGCGCCAGTCCACCAGCTACATTATACTTAGTATATTTACTACTGATGATCCCAAACCTTATAACACTTTAAGAAAGGACATCCTTAAAGATGGAGACCTAACTGATGGACCAAAGTTAGACTATCGATTCCACCATACCGAACTACAATACGGCTAGACAAAAAATGTTGAGAGAGGTCACTGACCAAAGAACTTTGGGCGAAGATTCTTTTAGAAAACTATTTCTATCTAAGATTCTTCAATAAGTGCAGGCTATTCTCGTTTTGTTCCAAAATCCCGACCGTAGCTGCTACCTTGGCGCGATGGTCAGACTTGCCTATCGTGATCACAGATGTCTTAGAAGCATTGCTCGTGCAGTCCTATATAGCTTGCCTATTTTAACTGGATTTCTCGCTTACATAACAATCACTGGAAAATTTGATAATATCATGTAATATGAGGGAAAACTTATCAATGAAATCGATCACAGAACAGATGTTCGTTTGCCTATTAGTAGGTGAGTATGTTGAAGAAACTTTGTCCCGTATTACCATGCGGCAATGGAATCTAGCCAATGAAATAGGGGGGGCACGTGTAGGTTACATGTACTTAGTTATGTCTCCAACTTCCAGTTACATCAAAACATCAGGTTGTGAAGAAACCCTATTAACAATAAAAATATCTCAATTTACGGCATTACAAATATTCAGAAATATTACTGTTTATAGAAATGAATAAAGTTATAACCTGAGTGCAACGTTATGAACTTACAACTTTTCGTCGCTTGAAGTAAAACAGAAAATAACAAAACAGATCAAATAAATTCATTATAAAATTGATGGACAATCTTTACAATAACAGTATAAGCGGATGAGCCCTAATATGACGAGTATTTATGAGAAAATATAAAACATGATCCCTACTATTCAAACACCGATTGCACCTTACTTATCAACACTTGATTTTTTGGGCGGTTAGCCAGTACGTATTTTGGTCTACTTGCAAGTTGTTGGACCATTTAGATGAAAGTTTGTACCATCAGAATGCATCAAATAATCACCAGTATCTCTAAACAATACCGCCGGAAGATAAATTTACTTTTTGTCAAACATTGAAAAAAGTCTAAAGACAAGGGTGAACTCTCATACGAAAATTATGCCTGAAAGAAAATGAACGACTCCATTGACTCAGATCTTAGGTAGAATCTGAGAACTGGACATAATCCCGTCCGAGTTGTCTCAATCACTGATTGTCCAATCTATAAGAAAGGACACAAGTCTTCTTGTTACAATCACAGGGGAATAAGTCTAACTAATGTAGTATCTAAAATATTGGCCTCAATAATACTTCGGCGCTTAACGAAAACTCGTGAAGAGTAGACTAGAGAAAACCAAGCTGCTTTTTGACCTGGACGTGGCTGTATAGACCACATCTTCACACTACAACAGGTCCTGGAACATAGACACACATTTAGGCGTCCTACAATAGTTGTTTTTCTGGACCTTAAGGCGGCATTTAACTCTGTTGATCGTGAGGTTCTGTGGCAGTGTCTGTCATTGAAAGGTGTACCAAAGAAGTACATTAACCTTGTACAAGCTCTCTACTCGAACACCACTGGTCGAGTGAGAGCTTATGGCGAACTGTCAACGGAATTCTTCAAGTGGTGTCCGTCAGGGATGTCCACTTTCTCCATTCTTGCTTAATTTTATCATAGACATGCTCCTAGAAATAACCTTATCCTCGTCTGAATTTTCAGGAGTAGACCTCTTACCGGGAGGCTCGCTTATCGAACTAGAATATGCCGATGACATAGTTCTATTCGGTGAAGACGCTGACAAAATGCAGAGTATTCTGACCGCCCTGAGCAACAATACAAGCATGTTCGGGATGCGGTTTTCCAACTCAAAATGCAAAATATTGTTTCAAGTCTGGATCGCAGGCGAGATATCCGTGTACTGAGCAGTAGTTCGCTCTGTCCTTCTATACGGATGCGAAACATGGCCGTTAAGAGTAGAGGACATTCGTAGGTTACTAGTCTTCGATCATAGGTGTATCCGAAGCATTGCTCCTGTATCCTGGGACGACCGAGTAAGCAATGCTATCGTTAGGAAACGAGTTCAAGTTAAGGATGGCAAATCAATAGATGAAGTAATGAAACTTTATCAGTTGATGTGGTTGTGACATGTGTTGCGTATGCCTAACCACCGACTGCCTCGACGAGCTATGCTTTGTGGTGTAGGAGTAGGTTGGAAGAAAGTTATGGGTGTGCAGACCAGAACATGGAAGAAATCCATGAAGTCACTGACAAGTGGACTGAGCCATGTCGGTAGGTGTCGATCACCTGGTCGGGGTACGCGAGATGTTAGTAAGCGATGGTTAGGGACCTTGAACGACATAACCGCAGATGCTGCGTTTGCTTTTGATCATAATACATTTCTCAGTTCAGAGAAGGGCGATAAATATGTTGGACACACTTTTTTCAACTACACTGCGACGTTTAGTTATGTTCTTCAACCTGTGTTATCAAGGAAGTTTGCTCACATCGACACTAAGCGCACGAAAACCACGTGGTTATTGTTATTTTACAGAAAGAGAACAGTATATCTTTCATTCGGGGAAATGTCTCACCCTTCAATTAACCAAAGTTGATGTGCTTTAAAAAGCTGTTCTTAACCTTTCTTCTTTCTCTTTTTACTTGTATGATGTCTTATCGCCTACGGAAAAACATTTTGTGTAACACGTGTACGAACTTACTGTAGATGTATATTGGCTTTTATCTCCTCTAACTGCTTTGAAGTGAATGAGTCCTTAGAGAATATTGAACAACGATCTACTTTCAAAGTTATTACACTTAATCGTTCTAAATATCCAGCTATTAATTTTAGTCCAATGTATGATTAGGACCTGAACATCCTGATAGGATCAGATAACTATTACTGTTGCAGATGCTGTTATAAAGGCATACGCTGCTAAAACGTAAGTAAAGCCTTTATTTGTACCAGACAAAATAGTCAAATAAAATGCTCATTTCTTATCGAACCAATAAAAAAACTTACTCGTGCCATACGAATCTCGAGAGCTTGTTTCAAATCTTCTATACACATCATCGCATCTAACAAGTCGGATTCCAAGCGATTGCGAGCCTGTGGATTATGGTGAATAGGAAAATAAAAGATGGATTACACACTTAAAAATCACGTCTTTATTTGCTATGACAAACAACAGTGAGCAATGAGAAACTGTACAAGGATGTCAGTCAGACAAAACAGACAAAGTGCAAGCTGATTATTAAGGAGCTACCTTATAACTCAACAGAAAAAGACACAAAAATTATTTTATTGAAACAGCTAGTAACCTAGATATGTTTAATGTTTACATTTTAAATTAGCAAAATACTTGTCATGGAGTTGATTTCATACAGACTGTTTAGCCAATAGTTGTGTGAATATGATCAACTGACACTTCGGTCGAAATGTTAGGAAGGTAATTTCTCATTACTATAAAACACGCAAACAAAGATGTATCAGATTTGGATGAATTAATAATTCTGTTGACTAATGGTAGATACAAAAATGACGAAGGAGAGTTACATGATTTTTTGGACAAAGCCAGTTTTGTAATTTAGATAACTACACTCTACCCGAATACCGCTGGTCAAGTCAGAACTTATAGCGAACTGTTAGCAGTGTTAACTACCTGGTTGGGGTAAGTGAGATTATAGTAATCGATGGTTAGAGACCCTGAATGACATGGCTCAAAAACGCTTGCAATGGCATATGTACATTCATTCTTTGTGTTCTTTCAAATCTTAACCTTTTGAATTCCTCATCACCTTTATCTTTTTCATTTTAAGTTTATTTCACTAGATCCTAATTCTAGAATTATATCGTTAAACCACAAATTTCCGATTACTGCTGAAACTTCTACTACCTCTAATACTATGGGATTTGAAGTGACAATTGAGTCTGTGCTAATGTGGAATGGCAACCTGAACCGATGTCCGACGTAAGAAATTCTATTTTGTAAGTGACTGATTGAACTCTTAGGAGAATTGGTTACTTCAAAAGGTATACGTCAAGGTTGTCCACTTTCTCCATACTTATTCAACTTTGCCACTGACATGCTTTTAGGGACGACATTTTCATAACCTAACTTCTCAAGGGTTGACCTACCAGGAGATTTGCTTGTTGCCTTAGAATATCCCGAAGACATTGTTCCTTTTGTGAAAATGCTGACAAAATGCACAGTCTTCGGACTACCATAAGCAAAAATGCAAGCATGTTCGGGATGCGGTTTTTCAACTCGAAATGAAAAATATTGTTTTAAGTCTGGATTGCATCGGCACCTGAACTAGTGATAGAGAGTGAAGTAGTCGAGTGCTCAGACCGCCTCACTTATCTGGGGAGTCTCATCAGCGCCTGTGGCCTGGTGTGTGACAAAATCTCAGCACGGATACAGAAGGCTCAACTGGCTTAGGCCAACTTGCGTCATTTATGGAGTAAACTTGCATCACTTACGACGCAGGCTAGATATCAATCCGCTAAACAAAGGACGAGTCTGCTGTTCGGAAGTTTGCTTCCCCTTACTATATGAATCTGGAACATGGCCACTAATAATAGAGGATGTTCGTAGGTTACTAGTTTTCGATAATAGGTGTCTTCGAAGCATTGCTTGTATATCCTGAAGCTGCCGAGTAAGCGATAATTTGTAAGGAAAAGGGTATTAAGTAAGAATTTTTATTTTAATTAATTGTTATTTAACTGACTGCGCTACTCAACTTATTCCTAAATTTTGCACTTTGATCCTAAAGAAAAAAAGTGGCTTTCACCTTCTATACCCAACTTACGTCAAGTATCAAAAGACCATACTTATTGATTCATCAACAGTTTTCAAGATTCTTTGTCCCCTGTAACCTACATGACAGCTTGAGTCTGCAGTTTTATTTCTTCAGAGTCGTAATTTAAATGTACTTACTCATTACTAGATCTCTTGGCACACAGAAAGAAACTAGTATGTTATTATTATAAAATGTGGTTTTATTGGGAACATAAATGCTTGTTACTTAAGGTTTCTTCTTTCCTTCAAAATATATTTGCAAATTACGGAGACGATTCAAATTAAAAAGGCCTGGAAAGGTGTACTTAGAAATATATATATATATATATATATATATATATATATATATATATATATATATATATATAAGCAGAGTTTATATAAAGGATACTGTTACGAAAACCTCAGTGGGTCTGTAAGACTTCCAAAATATAAAAAAAGCCTACCATTTCGTTATTTTTAGTCATTATAGAGAGAAATCTCTCCAACCGGAGCTTTTCATTCATGAGCAACCTGTAATTGTTCATAAGCTCTTGCTTAGACATCTGTTATGAAAAATATATACTGAAATCACTGATAATACATTTTCGTAGCTTTTGGCAATCAATGACCAACGCTTGTCCATCCTTTCATCTTCCAAAATTTCTCTTACTTTATCTCCCTAGGAAGTCACTTCATGTTTGAAATATAGTTCTTACTTCGACTGTATACTTAACAAATGGATCATTTGGATCGAGTGATGTAGGTTCCTAGAAAAGTATGAGAAAGATGCATGAACGTACTGTTGACTTTGCACGACGAGTCTTTTTGACCGCATGAGCAGCTAAGGCTTCTTCTCCCAATGGTCTTCGAGAAATATCTGGACTTCTAAATCTCTCCTGACTCTGTTTGTACTGCCATCAATTTTATATGAGAACTTACCTGCCGTAACAAGGCCGCTGTATCACATGTCACGTCCATTACGATTATAAAATATGATTATCAGACTAAGCATGTCCTAACGAAAGAAAATGGAGATTTTGAACAATCGCCATTGAAATGAAAGTTAGAGCACAACTAAATAACTGCAACCGACACATTCATTCTTCAATAAATGTGAACAATATCAAAAAACTTAAGATAATGAAATTTACATACTTAAAACATTTACCTGTATTTTCGCCTTAGTTTGCGAGGTAAGTAGATATAATTAGTTATCGTAGAATATTTTAGACACCTTCAACAGATTTTCTAATATCTAATTTATTATTTACGTGCTAGAATAAACCAATTAGATTTTTTACACTCGATTCTTGTCCTCTCGGTATAGTTCTGGGTATTTTATGTTTAATCATACAGTCGTTTATCCAGCAATCAACATATTTGTTCGAAACTAATATAAACCCAATGGATTCTATGACCTTACATCATCATCTTCCATTATAGATACAGTTATTTCGAGATGTCCGATAGCTGCTGATAAAGGCACGTAATTGCACTAGTTCCAGTGCCCTCAGTTATAAAACAATTCGCATATACTGCACTCAGTTTTCGAATTGCAACCACATCGTGCCACAGCAGTTAATAAACCATGAGTTATCCATTTTCCCAATCATAATAAATATATTTTAGCAAAAGATGACTAAGCTTTCAAATGCAAAGTATATCACAAACAGAATGAATGAGATATGTCACACTAACTAGCTATTTGCATGCTTATAAACCAATTTCAAAATACTTTTAATATGACTTGCAGTGTTTGTACTAAAATGTTTAGCCCACATGGCCTGTCCTAGCTTTTGGATAAACTAATTACCCTTTTCTGCCTTAGTTACAATTCGCACGTCTTTTAACCTTGTCAATTATTTGCCTATAACTTGGCTGTTCTTACTTGAGTGAGTATGTGCATTGCTTACTTGGCTTGTCACAAGTCTAGCCTATTTTTGTCTGACTAAAGATACTTAGTCACGCCTCATCGTATTGAATTGATTCACTCGCCTTCTTAGCTTCGCTTAGCTTTGCCTTTACGCTTCGCATCCTCATATCTGTGTACTTAAATGAACGTGTGAAATAAATTCATCCGTAAAACTGTTGGGTTTCTAATCACCGCCATCGCACAAATGGGGTTCACCTAAGGACGATATGCGGAAATTAGATGAAAGATTTGTTTCATAGCTTATTCAACCGTTCACCCCAAATTGGAGTCAAATCACGGGCCACTAAATTAGTGAGCCCTGCTTTGAATTCAATGCAACCACTAAAATCTCATCAGAAAGTTATTACTACTACAATGACTTAAGCAATCCAACTAACTCATAACTATGACTTGAGTAGCAAATATCTGTCAAATTCAATATCAGTTCAAAGCAAAATCAAAAAATATGCAAACCAGGCAACTATTCATTTAATAAAATAGTCTTAATCATGAAACTCATGTTCATTACTGAAATCATGAATTAATCATTGTTAGACCACCAATAGAAACCTGGAAGCACTGGACGGACGTTTCGCCCTGGTATGGGACTCACCAGCAGTGCAGATCAACGACCTCTGCTGCTCGCAGGATTCGAACATAGGACCTTTGGTCCTGCGCACGAACGCCTAACCTTTAAACCACTGTGCTGGCGTCCAACGCCGGCTATGTCTAATGTTAATCAATCCAGGGACTCTGAGCAACATCTTACATAGTTACTGACCATACCTGGCAGGGTTGAACTCCAATGGTCACGTCTTCTTACCAAGAACTCCGAGAATTTCCACACGAAGCTAGTCACTAGTGAGCCTATTGTACAATTTTTCAGTATAAAGTTATGGAGACTGTTGTCTATTACTGGATTCCCGCCCAGTGGTCCAGAGGCTAGGCGTTTGCATGCAAGACTGAAGGTCCTGGGTTTGAATCCTGCGAGTAACAGCAATCCTGGATGGGCATAGTTGATGAGTCCCATACAGGAACGAAACAGCCGTCCAGTGCTTCAAGGCTCCTAATGGTAGTCTAACAATGATTAATTCATGATTTCAGTAATAAAAAACTATTTCCATATCTCTATTATGAAAACTTCACATTCATATGAAAAAATTTAAGTAGATAATTTCCCAAAGTGGTAATTGCCTAAGTTGAAGAAGAAACTTAAAAAAATACAAATATACTACTGCATACAAACGAGTCCCTAAAAACTTCACGTGATGCTTCGTTCATGACATGATCAGCGAAATAGGTAATTAAATTCAGATTGCAGATGACAACTTACGTGCAGGTCACGGAAATTTTCATTATAGTCTAAAGCATAGCCGACAACAAATCGATTTGGAACTTCAAATCCAACAACTGAGCATTAGGTCAAAAAACAAAGAAAATACAGTAAGGATTAAGAAAATGTGTACATAATGTCTCTTTGTTAGGAAAACTTTCAAATCTATGCTAATGTGGAGCAAAGAATAATTTTGCTGAGCTAAGTGTGGAATGCCAACGGCAAAACAAAGTTTCAAATATCTAGCATCATTTAATAAAGGTGAACGCGCATCGTTTGCATAAGCTGGGCAGCGTGATAAAGGAATGTGAGAAGAGTTAGACATGTCGATAAGCAAGGTGTTAGGGGGAGAAGGAAGGATTCGTTTGTGACCAATTTGGTCTCAAGAGCTGTTACGGGTATGAGGGCGGATGTCTCTTGTCAGCTGCCCACACCGCGTGTGTTTCGCGAGGAACCTGGAATCGAAGTTCCATCCGTCAGTCGGCTACAACGAAGAACTTCAAACGAACGTAAATCAGTTCAAGTTGCCATACCGCATCAACACAGACGCAACTGTCAGTTCAAATCCGATAGTGGTAGAGATAGTAGAAGTATTAGCAGTTATCGAGAAGATGAGGGTTCGAAGATATGATTTGAGAAGTGTACTACAGTGAGAAAACTTTAGAAAGAGAAAGATAAAGATGACTTCAGAATGTTAAGATTTGGGAGGAAAGCAGGTCTATGACAAATTAAACAACAACGTAGAAAGTGGACATCCCGGACAGACACAACTTGAAGTAAATAATTTCCATGACAGTGCGCCATAAGCTCTAACTCGATCTGTAGTGTTAGAGTAGAGAGCTTGTAGAAGGTTAATGCACTTCTTTGGTACACCTTTCAATGACAGACACTTCCACACAACTTCACAGTCGACAGGGTTGAATGCCGCTTTAAGGAATATAACTATAGTTGGATCTCGAAATATGAGTCTATATTCTAGGATCTGACGAACAGAGAATATTTGGTTTACACCTCTTTTGCTTTCACTAATCACTACTGTGTGCGATCATTGCGTAGGCTTCTCCATCAGCTTGCGCTTAAGTTGATTCCATTCTTCGTCATATTCAGAGCCAGATAGGACGATTTTCCGAGCATCTAATAGTTTGGTAGATGCTACTGAGATCCACCGCTTTTCCCTAGCCATATGGTATACCTTACTGGTAGATATCACTGCTGTTTCCTCAGCTTTTTGGACATCGTACCAAGCTGCCTCAGGGTGGGTGTCACTTACTACATGGTCGCCTAACTTTTTCTAGTTGTTGCTGAAATATTTTCTTACCTATGCTATCATTAGGTAGAACCCTAAGAAGTTTCCTTGCGGTGTCTTTCCTACGTCCAGTAAGCCGCGAACGAATACGTGATCACACAATGAATGAATGCAACTGCTCAATGGCAAACGGTTTTGATCGATGTCGTTGAAGTTATCTAACCGTCGGTTACTTTCTTCTCACGGACTTCAACCAGGTAGTCTACACCTACATACATGGCTCAGTTCACTTGTAATTGATTTCATGATAGTCTAAGAATGAATAATTCATGTTTTTAGTAATAAACAACTATTTCCATATCTATTATTATATCTATTGTGAAAACTTCACATTCATATGAAAAAATTTAAGTAGATAATTTCCTAAAAGTGTAATTGTCTAATTAGTCAAAAGCGGCCATCCATTTCAAGTTAAAGAAATTTAAAAAATAAATATATCTTTTGGAAAAACAGTCTTTAGTGTGTATAGTGTGTATATAATGGTCAAAACAATTAGGTAGTCTTTCAAGACAGATAATATATAGTGTCGAAATATTATTCATGAAACGAGAGATTATCTAAAATATTGGCAATAAATACGATTAATTCTAAAAGAAGTCTCAATGTAAATTTATGTTAGAACATCGAAGCTGTTTATTAAGTATTTCTATTCATTAGTTAGAAATGTATGTTGTTGTTATTCATGTATCCATGATTATTGCATTCATTATACTTTAAGTAGGATGACATAAATTCCTATTGCCAACAGGCTACTGATCAGTAGGCTCGTGAAATTCGACAATTTATTTATAGCAGATAGATAGGAATGACTCAATTTCTAATAACGACCACTAACCATTCAATAGTGCTTTTATCAGAATTTCAAGTTAATAGGTAAGCGATAATTTAATCGTTTGATAGAAGAAACGAACAAAATCAAATTGAGTTTATGAAATCAGTTACACTACCAAATGATTGATAATTAGACTATCTGAGATAGTTATTACTGATAAACTGAGTTATATTTACATAAATCATTGTTGAAGTTGAAAGGATGATCGTATAGTGAGGGGAGCCTAACCAGAAGTGTTGACTGTCTTTTGATTAAGCTACCAGAGATGACTTTTGTGATTAGTTTACAAAGCAAGCCAAAAAAATCCTTTACTTGCTTAAACATTTTACGAAATTTGAAAAATAATGTGACCACCATATTGGTCATTTTAATTGCGTTTTTGAGACTTGACATATTCATATGATTAATCCTGAACTCTTAAACATGCCTATACGTCAGTGCCTGAGTAAATGATTATAAGTATTCTATTGACTACATTTATTCTGCGCATTCCCAGTTCCCATGATCTCATTTAGTTATATTTCACTGCATTGAATTATTATCTACTTGGCTGTTTGCGTTATTAGTGGCTCGAATTTTGCTGAAGTACTAGTCT